TTGGTGTACTGAATGACTACAACGAGCCCTTTTATCTCCAAAATAATAAAATCAGTAACATGGCTGTGTTTAATAAAAATATGAAAGATTAATGTATTTTTTTTGTTTATTGGCGTACCAGCAATACTGTTTACATGTACATTAGAATAAATATGTTTACAAAATTACGTTAAGAAAATGAATAATAAATTAATTTTGTTTAAAAACTTATCTTCGCACTAAAAAAATTAAATCATTATTTGAAGGATGAATCAATATTAGTTCTTTTTGTCCTGATATATCATAGCATTACCTCCAACATCTGTTTACTTAACAAGTTTCACGTCCACCATCATTGCCTTTCGGTCTTTCCGCAAAAGAGAAAAGACGGGATAATGAGTAAAAAGGAAAAAGAATGAAGTGGCGTGAGAGAGTATGATACAGGCTACCATGGATATGGTACAGTGCGTGTTTACATATCTATTTTAAGGCAGTCCAAATTAATCGTTACGCATGAGTGCGAATTTAATTAGGTGACCAGTCACGTGGTACATGTACGTCAAAGTGTTACTTCGACTGACCATGACTAATATTTAAACAGTAGTGAAGACAGTAGTCTGTTTTCTTTGTCTTTTTTTCGCGATAACATTGAATGACAATGAAATGTTCTTAACTAAACACCGATAATATATATATATACATATATAAGTATATATATCTTTCAATACAAACTTAAAAAATAAATTCTCTTAAAATAAAATGAAATTAGTGGAAAATCCACGTCGGAAGAAGGTGATATTTGATAATACATGATTGTATATACAATAGTACCTCTCAGGATACGTGATCGTGGTAAGAGCAGCTGTTGCTGTCATGAATATTGTTTTACATATTGATTGGAATATGATTATATAAATATAATGTTAAAATTAATTATGATATTAGCAATAAAAATGTTTATAGTAAGCAACACCAGAAACATGTATATTATACGTTCCTGTGAATATGTAGGTGATTTATCGTTTATATTAACACATTTAACATTTCCGAAGAGATTTTGATGTCATTAACCTATGTAAAACCACACAATGTCACAAACTCAAAGTAAGAACCGAGGTAACCACAACGAAACAAAGAGGACCAGAGACTTATGAAAAAACCGAACGGCTAATTTCACGATGTGATCTTGCGAAATTGAATAATTAAACTTTTTTCAATTTTTAACGATATGAAATATTAGTAAAAAGAACAAGAGGGCAAAAATTGATTTAAAATTTTAACGTTTGACAAAAAAAAAAAAAAAAAACCACAGTATCTGTGGTGCTTTTAATTATAATTCTTACAGGGTGATCATTATCCTGACCCTTACAGGGTGGTCCTAATCCTGACCCTTACAGGGTGGATATAGGTTAAGTATACTAATATTTTCTCGTGAAAAAACGTATACTATTGAGATATTGGCTTAACCACCTAGGAACAATTGGCTCCCGGTCATCTGTTGGTCAGAAATATTAAGTGAGAATCGACTGCACGATCACCCATCAAGGCTGACCATCCGACACACGCATGCGCATAGTCTCGCCATCGGGTGTTGAGGTCAAGTGTTCGTGTTTTCTTTTTTATGTTAAGTTTGATTAAATGGTCGTGTATTCAAATTTTAAATGTCCACGTGTTAATAAATACGTCAAAGTTCAGATGTAAAGGTCATGTGTGAGAGGCAGCATAATAACTTCGCCCATAGTTTGGCAGATCCGTGAAACTTGGCGCGTACATCAGTTACACTAAGCCGAGGTGCATTGTGTAAAGTTCAATGCCTACAACCTCTTATTTATAGAGTTACGGCACTTTTTTAAAATTTCGTGTCCGAAGAATAACTTTGCTTGCATTTCAATTATTTGGCTCGTGAAACTTGGTGTATACATTGGTCATACTAAGACGATGTGCTGTGCATTTAAGTCAGGGTCTCAAACCCAGTATTACACATTCACTGTCTTTTATTTAAAATTCGTGACTGGAACGTAAATTTATTACAGTAAGTTTATATTTTGAAAAAAGTTTCAAAGCGTGTTTACTTTGAAATTTGAAAATATTCATGGATAAATTCAAGTTCGAAAGTCATACTTCATTGGATAGATTTTATCTGAAACTTTGAGGGGTACAAGCTCCTACAGAGTGGAACTTCGGGAAGGTGATTCAGTGCTCTATCTGTGTGAAATACACGTTCATGTATGTATAGTGTGATTCAGTCAATGGCCGAAACAAAGCCTATTTGAGTCCATAGTCCACCAGATGGTTGTTTATTAAACACAGGAAAGTATGGTATACTGTTTATCGAATAAACGGCAATAATTTTCCATATATTAAAATTAATATGTTTACTTAAATTACAGAGACCAATATCCATATATTAAATTTGATATGCTGTTTACTTAATTGCACGAACAGGAAATGAACAAGGACAGTAAGAAGCCTCCACCACACAGCCATCGCGGCCTCAAATCACTGTTACATTTTCGTGAGATTTTCAAATAAAGCAAATACGTCGCCAGAACACGGACGTTCGTCGGTGAGACGATACCCGGACACGGAAGGTGTCACGTGACGGAAAACCTGTCAATCTGTCAATCTCTAATAAGACACGTTGCCAGAATACTGACATTCGTCGGTGAGACGATACCAGGACGAGGGAGGAGTCACGTGACGGAAAACCTGTCAATCACTAATAAGACACGTTGCCAGAACACTAATGTTCGTCGGTGAGACGATACCAGGACGAGGGAGGAGTCACGTGACGGAAAACCTGTCAATCTGTCAACCAATCACTAATAAGACACGTTGCCAGAACACTAATGTTCGTCGGTGAGACGATACCAGGACACGGGAGGAGTCACGTGACGGAAAACCTGTCAATCATCAATCAAATTATGGTCGCCCCCTCACGTCGCCAGAACACTGACGTTCGTCGGTGAGTCAAAGAGACGGAAAACCTGTCAATCAATAATGTTATGGTACTCTTGATTTGAGACAGCTCTTTCAAGTACTTTTAAGAGATGATGATAACAAACATAATTTGTTGATTCTTTGAGGACCATCTTTCTGGCCTTTCTTTTTGTATAGTGAAATAAAAAAAAATCCACGAAGTAATTTCAAAACAGTTACAGACTTTGTAGCTGTCAAAATCAAACATGGCGTTATGTCAGCCATTTTTTTTCCTGGTCAGTCACAAAATGAACAAAGCACAAGAGGAGACTCCGGGAAACCTACATATGGAATTTTAATATGGAAGTTGACTTCGGATATCTTGCATATGGAATTTAACCATGAACATCTTATTCAAAGGATTTTACCACGAAGATCTCACATATCGAATTTGACCATGGAGATCCTATATTTGGAAATTTGTCCCAGAGAGCCTATATATTTGATTTGACCAGAGAGCCTATATATATGATTTGACCAGAGAGCCTATATATATTTGACCAGAGAGCCTATATATATGATTTGACCAGAGAGCCTATATATATGATTTGACCAGAGAGCCTATATATTTGATTTGACCAGAGAGCCTATATATTTGATTTGACCAGAGAGCCTATATATTTGATTTGACCAGAGAGCCTATATATATGATTTGACCAGAGAGCCTATATATTTGATTTGACCAGAGAGCCTATATATATTGATTTGACCAGAGAGCCTATATATATGATTTGACCAGAGAGCCTATATATATGATTTGACCAGAGAGCCTATATATTTGATTTGATCACGATATCTTCCATATAGAATTCGAGAAAGGTTCCTTAAATAGCAACAATGGTAAAGTCAAATATGTCTGTAAGCCATTTAATCTTTTTGATAAATCTAAATGTAAATAAGTTATAGTTTTGTTGTATATAATGTCCAAAACATGATACACAAAACACTTCCTTACAAAGTAAAGAAGGGTAACAGGAAGAACAAATACCTGAATTATATTTTGTGGACATATTTTTATGTCCTTTAAATTTTGGGACCGATCCGAAAATGTTTATGGTCAACATGAAAAATTTGTCAAAATCCAATATGGATGCCGGTCAACTGTTTATTTTTTGATCTGTCTCAAAGTTCAAACGGCATAACTCCAAACCAAGGATAAAGAAATTTGTTGGACCTTGACCTCAAATCATAGATACAGTGTTCATTAGACCATGAATAATTTGGAAACAAACTAGGTATCATCTCTCTGACTACCCTGTCCGAATAATATTTCTTTTATCTGCACAATTGTAAGATGAAATAGTAAAACAGCATCCTTTGATGTCATATGGTTTTTTGATACTTTACTTCAGTCATGGTCATTTAAGGAGAAGATTTGTGTGGTGGAGGAAAGCTGGGATTCCCGGAGAAAAAAACACCAATGTGTTGCAAGTACCTAGTGTGGCCTAACAAGGCCTCAAACCTGCGACCCAGAGATGGAGGGCCCCGAGATAGTGTGCTAGTAATAAAGACAGTTAGATGTCTTATCCCCTCACAAGATACAGGTAATATTTCACATCAGATAGCATAATTATAATGAGCCAAAATATTATCAGAATAATTTTGCTGTATTTAATATCAAAAACATACAATACAAATAACTTTTGTACAAAGTAAAGAAAGGTAACTGGAACAACAAACAACTGGATTACAATGTGTGGACGGATATCTATCATTTAACAACATAAATTCTTGTGTATCATAAAAAACTTTTAAGTAAAATTTCAAAACATGTCTCTAAATGAATGAATGGACAATACATATATCATACTTTCTCATTTTAAAAGACAAACATATTAAACACATTACAAAACATTCCATGCATTTTGAATGGATAAAGAAATAATATCTTATTTACAGTCAGTTGTGTTGTGTATCACAGATTCGGCAGGAAATTAACAAATCACATATTTATGTAAAGCATATTTAACATGTCTGTAAAAAATGAATGAGAACATGAGCAATAATTAATATAGTAAACATATATATATAAAATTCTGCATAGTAAGCTGAACATTGATAAGGGAATGGATGAAAGTTCATAGTAAATATAAATAACTAAACCAAATCAAAATATTAATTATGTAAAATATTATTTTGACATATCTGTCAATTTAAGTGTGAAATCCTGGGTTAACTTCTTCCATTTTAACAATTCATAACATTTTGCACAGTATATATTAGTAAACTGATAAACTGACAGGAGTTGTCTCCCCTTACACTGATCCTTTGGCTAAACGTTCAAGCCTTTTTCGCAACCAAGCAGAGTCCTCCTCGTACCCAAATTTCGACCAAAACTCTGACATCAACTTGTACCTTTCAATGATTTCAAACTGGCAGATAAAATGGAGCTTCCTGAGACAGACTGGACACAGAAACATGGAACGCTCATCTGATTCTTCAAGATGATTGGATCCATTCATGATACACGAAAAGTACACACAGTGTGAAATGCCGAACATGTGGCCAATCTCGTGACACATGGTTTTACATGCACGCTTCATCAACGAGTTACTTCCTGTTTCACTGAAATGACATAATAAAATTACTTCAATGCTATTTACAAATGACGTAAGTCACAATAAACAACACAGATATAAATCTATAACGTCCATCTTTATAGCCAGTAAGATTTTTTATTTATCTCAGTGCAGCAGGAGATACTCTCTGTGTTCGGAAATAACAACAAGAGGTTTAGCAGCTTTGACAGTCACCTGAGATAAGCAATATTGAATACAAAGGTTAAAGGTTAAGCAGCTTTCAAGTGTCATGAAAAAGAAATAGTGACATTGATGATAGAAAGCCAAGGTCAATACCTGCATACCATCAATGCTGTCATCCTATACTAATGATTCTGACAAAGTTATTTCCTGTGGAAAATAAACAACATTATGCTAAAAAATGCATTTTTTTGATAAAGAATATAGTGAAGTCAATCCCCTCTCCAGGAAGAACTGCGAGAGCCATTTTGGTAATTAATGAATCTTAAGACACTTCCGTCCCAGAAGAGAATTTGATTCAACCATGCATGGGTGTTAGAAGACGATTTTTAAAATTCTAATCAATTTGACTCCCTTTGGCCCTGCCTAAGAGCCCCTGGGGGTCAGTCAGGATCAATCTATTCATACCATCTAGCTGTCATTCATAATTCTTACCAAGTTTAAAATATTTCCAATGGAAATTGAATAAATCATCCTCAAAAATACAGTTTTACAACATAAACTATAGTAATCTTTACCCCTTCCCCACGGGGAAAAGTGAGACCCTGGGGCCATGAAATTCATAATTTTGGTAAACCACCTTACAATGCTTCCATTCATGATGAGCATTTGACTCTACCATATTTGAGGTTTGAGAAGAAGATTTTTTAAATTTGAGTAAAATTTGATACTTTTGGCCCTGCCCATCAGGCCCACATGGGGCGGGGTTTATATATAATTCACTGTTTTGTTTTGTCTTATGCCAAAGAAGGTTTCTGCAAATTTTCATTGAAATCGGGGTCTGGAGATTTTGAAAAGTTGAAAATGTGAAATTGTTGGCAGACACACAACGTACAACGCCTGATGGAGGTGATCACAATAGGTCACCATGAGACTTTGTCTCAGGTGACCTAAAAATAAAACTACGAGTCCCTTCTCGTACTAAGAAGAAATAGTCCAAGTTGTATTATATGTTCAACATGAAAGCAAACCCTAGCTTCTCTCAATTGTGAAACGATGGTAAGAAACTCGTATATCATAGTCTGAATGGCTTTGGCCTTAGACAATATTAATGAATCCTTTTCTTTGGCATTCTTACCTTTCAGGGTTATAAACAGTGTTTGGCTGCTCTCCAAAGTTTGACAAGTAACGAGCTAATGAGTAAACACCACAACCAGATCTCATTTGTGCCAAACCAAAAACAAAATTCCAAGAGTCTTGAGGATACAGATCACACATTGTTATTGCTGCAACACAAAAAGCATCCTCAGGAACAATACTTGTCATCTCCTCTAGAATTTTACCTGCATGGACTTGAAAAGTATTGGAATTCTTATTAAAACGATTTGGAACTTTTCCTTTAAAACTGGTTGCTTTCATAACCTTCAATTTCATTCCAAAGAAAATGGAGGCAAATTGCTTTAATGAGTCTAAAATGTCTGCTGGAATAAAGGCCTCATCAAATTGGAGAGGAAGAAGATAAATCACTTTGCGTCTTTGTGTTGGGTACTTAGCCGAACCTTGCAGGAATCTCTCAAATGGTTGTCCCTCTGTCTTGTGTTCTGCTAACCATTCTGATTTCTTTGGTTTCTTCATTGGAGTGAAAAATTCTTCATCTGTAAAGATGAAGATATATATATTACAAATATCTCCATGCTGAGGTAATAAAAAAAAGGTTATGAAAATAACTTTCAACATTATTGCCTTGGCTTGAGCTCAAAATTGAAACTGTAACACTGATGAAATGTTGAAATTGTGGATGCTGTTAAAGGAATTATGCCGTTACAAAATGTAGCCCACAAGCAAAATTTCTTCAAAACATCATATAAATTGCTTGTTTTCAACTAAGATGTATAACTGCAGATGCCAAAGTATATGAAAAGACAAAAGTCCACAATATCATGCTGGAATTCATTTTATATTGAATTATGTCTTACTTTCGGTTCAAAACATCAGAGTAGATTCTAAACAAAACATAAACATATTCAATGTAAGAGCCCATGCCACACAACAGAATTAGTTGCATGCGTTTGGCACAAACCCCAGCCAGAAGGCTCATAAACTGACAACACGAATACACACATTAAAGTTGTCTCTCTTTGAAGGGAGTATACATCAAAGAAACCATTTTAAGATGGAGCATACTTGAATACTTAGTACGAGTTAAGTATCAAAATATCTTTAGAAAGTACTGAAATGTCTTCATGACCAAAACGTCTGCACACCAACACATCCAGGTACCAACATGTTGATACGCCTCTACTTGAAGACCCAATAATTTGAACAATTAAATGCAATTCAGTAGTTCTGTCCTCAATTCATAGAAAACAATCCTGGTCCAAATGGTCACAGTGAGAAACGGAAACGGCCCTAGTCATCATCAACTGTGACTCTGAGAAGCGATGTGTACAGATATGGACACAGTGACCTGATAATGTCACAGTCCTATGTGACTCTCACCATCTCTTTAGAAAGTTACGTTTATTTCAGGACTCTATACCAGACACAATGATACATACAAAGTACTGTGCATCATCTTTTGCATTACACTGTTAGTTTCAGCATTTCAATCATTCAGTGATTTCAGCTCTGTAGTTAAAAATCAGTTATTGGTTTTTCCATTATCGGTCTAACTCATTCTTATAAATATTTTCTGCAGAAATTACATTTTCTGGTGATTTGTTCCGAATTGATACCGATTTAACTGAAAAAAAATCATAGTAGAGTTGAAGCACGCTTTGTAAAAATAGTTTGTGAGTTTACTCGGCGGCTATTGTCATTTACTGTCGTCATTCCATAATACGACTGAATCATAGCATTCCTGATTGTAATGTGGGTTGCAATTAGTTCACCATCGAACTCGAGTATTTTGAATCAGTCAGTGCGTGTAAAAATGACAATTTCTTAACTCAAATATTTTTAATCAGTCAGTGCGTGTAAAAATGACAATTTCTTTCCACAATTGTCATTTATATGCCGACCCAAGCGCGGATCGCTATTTATTAATTTACTCAACCTGTTTTACATCCGCTATTATGACATTTCGGTCTTTCAGCGGATCGCTTATTTATCTCAGTTTACATAGGGCCAGAGTTTCGACGTTCATCGACTCAAGATCGATATAAATTTGGACTACCCGAAAAGACATAAACGAATTGAAAATGTTCAAAATGACGTTTCCATTTCGGTAGGTCGAAAAAGTATTTGAACAAGTCAAATATATTCAAAGTTATTTGTACCCGGAACAAAGATCCTGGCCTCTGCTGCTAAGTCTTCCTGTGGTCGTTTCCTCGCTGCCCTTCCAGCAACGGGCTTGAGTTGAACACCGCCGCCTTCACAGCTTTCTAATCCAATAGCAGACCAATGTAATCTGTCCGCTTTCGTCACCTTCAACTGAACTTTTGATCTAGAAGTCATCTCGTGAGCTCATAGAGGTCAGAAACAGATATATAACTATCTTACAACCTCAATAAACATGACAAGCTGACACATTATTTCCAATGTTTTCGCAATGATACCATTCAGTGTTTCACAACATAAAAGAGTTCCGTCAAAAATTCCCGCGCGTTTTATTAATACACAAATGATATTGGACGTTAAGAAATAGAATGGTTCCCTAAAATATAAAGTAGCAACATATGGATTTTATTATCAACTTCATAAATGCACGTGTACACTGTATGCATATACAATGCCGATACTTTCTCTCGAACAATATTATCGTGTTTGTAGGTTAAAAAATTCGCTGTAAATGGTATCGAGGGCTTGTGGCGCAATGGATAACGCGTCTGACTACGGATCAGAAGATTCCAGGTTCGAATCCTGGCAAGCTCGTAGTTTTTGTCTATTTTTTTTCCGTTGCGTCATTTATAAAAAAAAAAGATAGTTTTATGGCATAAGGCTGATGTTATTTCGTTTACAGAAGTCTACATCATTTTAATGAGTAACATTTTACTCAGCAATCAATTGACAAACTGAAAGATGAAACAGGACGGTCATACAGTCTTAAAAAGCTAAAACAAAAATAATATGATGTCAAAATGTTTTAACGTAGATATAATTTATATGTAAAACATACATAGCATGTCCATATCGAATATTTCTGAATGAACACTAAAACATATATTTGTCTTAATTAGCAAAATTTAAACATATTAAGACGTAAGCTTGACCACTCACGTACCTTTTTCTCCCGGTCATCTGTTGGTCAGGAATTAAGAATGAGTAATTCTGTGGCCGGAGTGTCATTACACGATAGTGACTCCGGTATGACTCGTCTGACCGTCGATCTGACACGAGCATGTACATAATCGTGCCTTAGGCACAATCATACCGTATAATCTTAATTTCTCTTAAATTAGTAAAATAATACAGACCAATAGCTAAAGACGAATAAACCAAATAATAAATAATTTACTGAATGAATGAATGCTGGAAATTTCATCATTCATTCATTCATTCATTCATTCATTCATTCATTCATTCATTCATTCATTCATTCATTCATTCATTCATTCATTCATTCATTCATTCATTCATTCATTCATTTAATCATTCATTCATTCATTCATTCATTCATTCGGCAGTCTTGCCTAAGAAAAGCAAAATTTGATATGACTTCATCTTAAATATTTTTCTAAACTTAACATTTTGTACATTTCTGAAGTTGCAGAGCTTGTTTCAAATGACATTTTTTTTTTAATTTTCGAGAAGCAGTTTAAAAACCAGTAATATTTGAGAGTAGAGTATGTCTTAGAAAGGAATATTCGAGATTCTCCGAAGGTTATAATGTGTGGAGAGGACTTAAATAATGTTGTTACAATAATAACTTGTGTCCGATCCGTTTGCTTGTTTGTTGGCAATAAAATATGTTTAAACTTAAACTTCCCCGAAAGTTTCCAACCAAAGCTCATTTAGAATTATATACAATGTTCATTTTTAATAATGTTATTATTCAAAGGCTACACTTTATAGCTAATCTTCGTATACAATGTAAATTAGATTTTGTTGGGTTGTATTTGGTGATTAAGTAAGGCGGGCGTTTGGTAGCATCAATACCTTCCTCCGTGACTACTATGATCCGTCTCCAGGATCACGCTATTACCAGGGAAAAAGTTAATCGTGTACATACGATTAATTGAAAAATTCCAAATATTTGTATTCAATATTACATTTTCTAACATAAACAACCATTTAATTGAACAATGTCGTAACTATTTTTTTTTAATTTATCCGTTCACTTACACGTAATGAAGTGTTTCCTTTCTTAGTTTTAACAAGTATATAACTACATTGTACCACCAAATCTAAATCTGTGCTAGCAAATGATTTTAGAAAATTAAAATCTATTCTACGACAGATAAAATTAAATGTATATTGCACGAAAATTAGGGTGGTCGTTTCCTTCAGTGCTACAGATCCAATGTCTTGATGAAATTTCTTTTAAAACTTTTCATTACAAAATTTCTTCACCTTGATATTTTACAAGAAACATATCCGAAAAAAAATCCTGAAACTAAATCTGACCGGCTTTTCCACCAATTAACTGAAAACAAAGCAACTCACGGGAAGAATTAGGATGTGTGAAAAGTTGAACGGAGTAGAAAACTAGTGACTGATGAGTGGGGAAAGATTCACTCACTCAACCTGTAACATTATTCATTAAACTATTCAAATTTGTGGTACTATTCTTCAAAACTGAACAGGAAGGAGACTTCCGCTTTCCCCCTTCCTATAAGTTTCCTTATTTCTTTGCACCCCGTCTCTACCATACCTATTTTATCATAAAAAAAAACATTTATTTTATGTATCAGCTTTATGTCATCTTGTGTAAATATTTAGGTGTTGTATATTATTTCTAGGAGAGAGCTTGTGCCCGATCCCTAATGTAGTTACTTAATAGAATAAAAAGAAGTAAAGACGAGAAAACCTGTACCATCCAATATTCATCCTCTGACTAAATTAAGAAATAAATTCTAACACGTAATGTGTAAATACTTCAGCGTGGTTATATAAGTGAACGTGTCAACACAAAATGAAGACATATGAACTAGGTCACTTGGAATGTAGACCACATATTAATCGATGACCAATCACGTGATTGACAAGCGAGGTTATTGATGTGTCAAAACACTACATACCGACTACAGTGCGCATGCGTGATATTGAATGTTGATAAAAACCATCGGTCCAGTTTTTGGAGTATCACTTAATTTTCGGATTTTAAGGTTGTCTGGACGCTTCCAGAGTCCAACATGAATATCCTTGGGAAAATCGGCAGAGTGTTCCTAATAGTATTGAATTCCTTATTTTTGGTAAGTCAGCAGTTTATTTTCTAAGTTATAACTGATATCGCACACGTTCTGTTCGTGATATCGTTTAACTTAAATAAGAAACTATGTGCGTCACGTGCAGATTTGTTTAAACGATTATTTTATGAGTAAAGATACTTTTCCTTCATTGGCATAAATTAAAAAAAAATTAAATAAATATTATCAACTATTTCAGTGATAAAGATATAATCACAAGAAAATCGGCATAATTGTAATATGTATGACATTTTACAATAATAATCAAATATAAGATTTACATTTATATGAAATTATTGAAAATAATTTCCCGCTTGTCGCCGAATTAGATTAAACGAAATTCACCGTTTGCGTTAACATTTACAGAACAAGGAACCATTTCGTGGCCTGCTTATAGTATCATTAAAAATGGAAAGGATGTTTATTTCTTTTATAGGACAATGTGCTTTAAATATAATTTTCTTTGTAGGTACAAAGCATACCTGCTAACCATTTTGATATTTTGGATTGGAACAGCTTTTTGAGCTAAAAAGTCATTTTTATTTTCATCAGATTCATATCTTGAAAAATGAAATGAACGAAAAATGAAATGAATGAACAGAAAGAAACAAAAGGGTTTCTTTCTTTTCTTTCTTTCCCAAAATTCCGTAAATTATGTCGGGTTTACTATCAATCATGACTTTCCTTTTATCATTTCAAGATTTCATTGTTGATAAGTAGATACAACTGAAATTAAATAATATCTTAGATTTAACATGTTTATTGTGACAAAAAAGATTGAACACGAGTTTTTAGAATCTAAAATTGATCTGGTCCGCAGTTCTTCAATCTATCCATGCCTCCATTTTTTTCATCCATCATTGATTTTCCGTATCCTACATATCCTAACTTCTCATTCTTCTTCTCTCCCTCTCTCCGTCTATCTACCCCACTCTTTTCTCTCCGCCAGACTAAGATTTTTTTCTGTCTTCTGTTCAGATACTAGGAATAGCAGCTTTTATTGGCGGTATCGTGTTCTACAACAACAGTGGCGCCACCGGTCCAAATGTCGCGGAAGTGATGAACCAGATCACAATCGGGAACTTCACACTCGCTAATCTCGTCAAACTCATCGCCGGACTCTTCATCGCTGTCGGAGTCATCAGCGTTATCGTTGCTGTCGTCGGAATAATTGGGGCATCGAAACAGCAGAGAGCGCTCCTCATAATCGTAAGTTTTAATTAATATATTTCTTGTTTTATTTATAATTTTCCATCAAAGAATTCAGAAGTATGTTATTGTGGGGTTTTGTACACTGTATTAGCGAATTACATCCTTATATGTTGGCACCATCCCATCACTGTTACAAACAATGGCTGATAATTGATATTCATCCACTTGTTCCACTTCATTGTGCGCAAAACTACACGAAGAAAGAACGAAAACTCGTAAAGGGTAAAAAAAAATGAAAACTCATTTAAGAGGAAAATAATCGCAAAAAAAATCGAAAAAACATCAAAGTAAAGGGGAGGGGAGAGGGGGTGGGTCGAGGAGAGGGGGGGGGGTGGGGGGTGGGGGAGGATGGCATAACAATTCATCGTCATTCGAATTTTCATCTATTTTTCTCTATCCGTCAGCTTGGTAGCTTGGCGTCATTTTGTTTGTAAATAAATAGAAATTCTCCGAATTATCGATGCCTGTATGTGTTAATCTTAACCATGCGAGGAGATGATTAAGACATTTAATCAACATTTGGGTCATGTTTTGCTAGCCGTAGGCGCATACCCAGGTAAGTAAAAGTTCTGGTGACATACTAATCGAATATCTTATCAGTAAAGTCATCCGGAAAAATAGCCCGGGGCCGACCCAGTTATTACATTTACTTAAAGCCCTGATATAGTTTTAGTGCATTGATTTCAGTAAAATAAAAATAAAAAAAAACATCCGTAACTAGATTTCAACAAAAAACTGTATAATTCTTCAAAAATCCCATCCATCACCAGATAAATTCCATCCCTGAACGAGTTTCACCTGATCCGTCTCATTTTATTCATGATTCACGAGTTCTCCCCCTAAATATATCGGTCAACGATGTTCGTCTTCAGCATGAATATATGTCATGTCATACATACATATCAATCAATATTTTTACCGGTAATATACAAATGTACTATTGCGACGTGACAGGGAATTATTTTAACGTTCTGAATAGTGAAAGAAAAAAATTAAACAAACGAAAAATGCGGTTTTTAGTTTTTCACGCCTGATCCACTGGAGTTTTGAGATTAAGTATAAAAAAACAAATGACATTGCTGTCATAGTATTTAGCGTATTACGATCCTTCTCTTGGATTAAAAAATTGTATGAAAGTCACACAGGTGAATAGCGCCCTTAAATACAAATTTAGAATTAGATACAGTGTAGTTTAACCAAGCGGGTTTCCTCGGGCACTCCGGTTTCCTCCAACAGTAAGACCCCTCGCGCGCTTACATCCGGGCCAACCAGATTGATTAATATAATTTGGAAAAAAAACTTGTTTCACAATTTTTGTAAAATAAATAAGGTTTATTATTTATTATTAGTTTAACAGTGTGGAAAAAACAGTCATAAACAAATAACCCATTGTATCTTCATAAATGGCAGACGGATTAAAACTTGGTCACAAATTTGTTTAAAGTTATGTACCAACTCGCACACCAGATGTTCGCCTAGGTTTGGGTTTGATTTAACAGTTTTGGTCAATAAATGAAATGACTACATTTATATGGCTGCATTTTCCCCTTGTCCTTTCAGTACGCTGTCGTCGTTATCATTGTCATCATCATGGAATTAGTCATCGCCGGCGGGGTGTCCCAGATGAAAAACGATGTGAGTATTGCTTTTTAATATATTTGAGATCTTTCCTTTTCTCCGGTCTAATTGATTGAATGAATGCGGGTGTCATAGTGAACTTTAAATCTTAGTATGTAAATAAATCTCAGAATTTCTTTGAACTTTGAGAAAAGTATACACGGACTTTGAATTGAAAACCATTGCATTGTTACCAACCAAAGCATCGCAAAAACCATGGCGAAACAGGGCTATTTAACGCTAAACAAAGCTTGGGATAAGCAATTTATATGCATTTTTTTAACATCAGAAATACATGTATTTAAGAAGACGTATACAATGTTTCTGTAACAGCTGAATTCAACAGTGAAGAGGAGGATGTTAGAACTTCTTCGACCTTACGAAGGTAACCAAGGCGGTGCCCTCACCTCAGCCTGGAACTGGCTCTTCATGACTGTAAGTACACGTCACTTCCGCTTATGCGTTTTGATCACATTCAAAGTTATTCGGCCTCGATTTTCAATTTTCACCCATTGTCTTTACTTTTATTATTCATACAACTGTTTCAGACAAATGCATTGAATTTTTTTCTACAGTTTGACTGTTGTGGTGTGAATCCTTTGATCCAAACAAACGACATGATCTACACCTTCTGGTGGCAGAACTTCAACCGGGGTGTAGACCAGATTCCCGGATTCTGTTGCAGAGACGCCAATCCCCAGAATGCACAGTTCAACGCCCGCCAGGCTTGTACGATCGCACCGACCCCTCTCAACTCCTTCGTGGATAGAGTAAGCAGACCCCGCAATTTACATTTATTAAACCACAAATAATTTTATTTAGAGTTATCTTCCGTGTTTATATTCGTCGATGCCATTTACTTGTTCAGATTCAGGATTATTCCCAGTGTCTGCATTTTTTAATGTAAATTGTAATCACATGACCATCTAGTTTTGTCTAGTTGATATCTTATTCATAAAAATGCAGTAAGACTGCACATACCATAAAAAGGAGGCATACACCCTTAATTAGAATTCAGATTATTGTATTTTAGTTTCCCCAGGTACGAGTTTATGTATAGATTATATTCGGTATAAATGTAACGTGTTTACATAAGACGAATTTATGAATGTCTTTCTATTGAGATAAGAGTATACATGGATGACGTCATCCATTTTACAGGGATGTTTTGACGTCATGTACCAGATACTGAATAAATACAACGTCGAGGCCATCATCGGATGTATCCTATTTTTACTGGTTGAGGTAAGATATTCAGTGATCTACCAATCAATTTATAAAAAGACGGATTTTAAAAATACAAAATAAATTCGTTTTTTTAGTATAAAACCTCATACGATCATATGAAGTGTATTCTATCTATCTCTCTCAATCAACATTTCTGTCTAATCGTCATCGATCTGTTCTTTTTGCAAGTTCCGGGATTTTACATTGCATTTGTAAAACCTCCTGCTATGCCTCAAAGATCTATAACTGGTTTTCCATTTTCGTCCCCTTTATGTTAAGCCTACATTTGTACTTCTAAAAATCCTGATTATTGATAATTCGGGGTTGCACATGAAACTAATATTATAACGTGGGTTTATCAAAAAAAAATCTGTGCATTATGTATGATTTTTTCCTGAAATTGTAACGATGAAATACATTCACCGTGAGCTTTTTTCAGTAATGTTGACCTTAATCTACCGCTCCTTTTTTTAAACAGATTGCCGCGTTTGTGTTTGCCGTCCTTATGGCTCGTCAAATCGGCCGCAACGCCAGTAAGAAGAATATCACGTGATCGTCCACATAGTCGCGTGATGAATAACTCACGTGACTTGTGGTGTAAAGAAATTAGCTTACAATTTACACCAGAAGCCAAGTGATTATTGGACCTTACATCGCAGTTGACAAATACGTAAATATTGGGTATAACTGATTTGTGATAAACAAATACAGAAACCACGTCCACCCGATGGACAAACCATGCACGTGATAAAACACGTAATGAATAGTTCTAGCTGAGCGGCAGGTGATGGACATTGGAACCACATCACTAGGAAATCAACGTGAAAAGTCACAAGATACCAACTTCTACTAAATTAACGAGAACTCGTTACTAATTTTAGGATGTATGTTGTATCATTATATTACATGTCGATTTTACATGAACGCATGTTGAATATTTTCTACTACTATATATTTAATGAAATGAATTTTTCAACATTAAACATTAAAATGAAATATGTACACTCTGTATTTTTTGTTGATATTAGAGACCAACATAACAAGAGGTTACTAAATAATACCAAGGATTGCACGTGGTCAAGTCGATGTAACGGTAGCCTTGACCTTCTGAAGGCGCCAGCCTGAAGAATAATGTTGAACCTCTCCAGGTAGATAATATGTATTAAATATGCACTGAACGAATGATACACATCCTTTATCTATTGCAAACCTTTCGTGTGAAGATTGATCAGTACAGTAGTATAACAAGCAACATCATACCAGTGAAAAGGAAGCAAGGACGACTTTTCGAAAAGCAACTTTCACTATGAGAAGCCTTGCATAAATTTCGACTTTTATCAGCCGATCTCCAGTTACACAACTGTATATTATTTATATCAAAGTGTGAACAGCCATTCTGTCAAAATCACCTGTATACCATGTTAACATTAAGGCTACAAAATACCCATGAATATCAATCTTCATAAAATCTCAGACACGAAATGCTCTATTACACGTCCCTAGCAAAATAAACAACATCACAAAGTTTCAAATAAACTCAAAAGAAAGACATCAGAAAAACAAAATGATTTTGTTTTGAATTTTTTTATTTCTTTTTTTTCATTTGAACTTTCAAGTTCTGATTTTCTGGTTTGGTACAAATCATTTGTATGTTTGTGTGTGTGTGTGTTTTTTTTTTACAAATTTACAAATTTTTTCCTTGTAAGGAAACATATTAAATAACATTATTTGTATATACACTGTGTAATATCTGACCCCTTTACTCCTAGAGGTCCCTCATACTGGACATACTTCATTCTGCATATATACATATATGATAACAACTGTTCCATGGTCTATAATTGTACAGTAGAACCTGGTGAGATTTTGAGATTTATTTAATAAAAATAACACTCTATAAAACATTTTGTTCTTGTGGGGAAACTGAATAAACCACTGTTCTATAAATACATGTGTGTAATCTTATGTGTTCATATTCCTACATAAACAAACAACATCTGCATGGTGGATATTTGTAATCGTACCCCAGCAACCTATTCTCAAAAAAAAAAAAAAAAAAAAATCTGTTAGAATTTGCTATGAAGTTGATAATTCTCCTAAGATCAATAATGTGTTCCCAAATTCAAATGTACAGCTGCAGTGGTGTCAACAGATTCATTACACACCTATATCTTTCATTCAGTCTCAATTCCATCAATACTAGGACACAACAAAAACTATTGTTTGTTTCTTGGTCTCCTACTTTGCTTTATTGCAATTTTCGGGGGAGGGGGAGAAATAAACCATATAAAGTAATCTATCAATTATTAACAGGAAACAAGTTTATTTTTTGTTTGACCTTAGTGTGGTATGGTGGAGAAGAAGCATGGACACATCCCACCATAGATTCCACTGTACAAACTGACATGGAAAATCAAGTTCAAGTCTCTTCACATCTGCTTTTCTCCCTTCAGTGTTTGTACTTTGCTGGACAGGTGTGAGAGGCAACATAATGTAAGACACTTGGGTCGTGTATTTTCTCTACGAAACACATTTCTATACACCAATATTTAAATGTTCAGCTCCTATGGTAAACAGACCCTCTACAAAACCAAATCTTTACATATAATCTAACATGGGACTCAAGAATAACACCCAGGAATTTTTCTATGTAATGCTTAAACAAAGAAGAAATTAATAATGTACATCAAGATATTTTTGTCTCGTGATATTTTTACTTCATGATCAAAGTTTATATAAGTGTAAGTGACCCTTCTAAAATTCACTGTCCCTGTTAAAGGACGGAAATTCAATAGGGGTGAAAATTTTCTTATATACAGTAAAGTCTCAAGAGCAACACCTCTGCCTCCCCAACATTTTTATATTAATATACAGCTCCAATTACTAAAGATAAAACCAATTCTATACCATCATCACAGACCCAAATTGAATCTTGTCAGATTGAACTTAACTTTTTCACTGAAACATTTCCTTGTGGATTAATGCGAAGATGTGAATTAATGCTAAGAAGCCTATCAGGAATTCGTTGTATTACATTAATACTATGGATCCTATTGTTAACACAATGCTATAACAATAAACTAAACATTTCCCTAATACTAATGTTATCTAAAAGAAACAACATACTTAGATATGTCTAAATCCCTGATGAAACCTTACAACTTTGAACTTTTTTATCCTATCATACTGGTACAATATTGTACTTCGGAGACCAGTGAAAGTTATGACTATTTTCAGAAATCAAAATCTGACAAATATGAAAAATTCTTTTTACATTATGATAATACTTCGATTTGTAATATTATGAACAAAGAGATTTAAGTCTCAACTTCGCAATTTCATGGGACAGATTTGATGTCTCGTAAAACATTTAAAGATGAGATCAAGTTTAAGTCAAATTTCTCAAGTTTCTAAACAATTTACCAGAAAGTTATGGGACCGACTACTTTTATAACGGTAAGTTATATGGGCTGTGGAAGTACCAGATTTTAAAACATTTGAGTTGATCGGTATCAGCTACCATATGGCAAAAACACTGCTACAATCTGCAAATCTACTGTGATTCATTGAATCTCCTATGTTTATCACAAAAGCACAGAACTTCCAGTGGTCAGAGAGAGGGATAACCAACAAGCAGAACTAAATTTCTTCATTATTTGAAAAGCAGACGAAATCAAATCATATCAAACTTACATTTCTGATATAATGTTCATTTAATAATATTTATTCAACACTGTTTGGAGATTCAAATTCTTACTTCATAAACATATGTTCAAAACAACTTCCCCAATACATCAGATAAATTATAATCTGTATAATTTTTCAGAATTTATAAAACTGTCAAATAGAATCATAATTAACTTTTAACATCTTGTATAATATTTGTCATTCTGAAATATGTGCTTGATTACTTTCACAAGCAAAAAAATCAATAACAGAATAAATCAAATCAGAATTGAAAAATCTATAATGTCTTTATACTGAATGCCTAATAAACACTTCTATATGTGCAACAGATAAATCAGTGATTTGTAATGCTATATACTTGTGTACTCCAAAGGTTCATATGGGTCAACCCTATCCCTCAAATCTGTTTATGAAGCAGATGTATTCCGTTAAACCATTCATTATCCCGGGGGATTATTTCTGTTGACTTCTCAAGTAATCTTAATCTACACATTTATAAGTCCATGAAATGTAAACATCTATCTCAAAAGTCAGTGTCCATGAAAAGTAGTCTTTTTTGATATACCACGAGAACTGAACCTCACTTAAGCCTAGATTTTACACCAATGTACATGTATTAAAGTATCATTGGGATCTCTGCCAAGCCTTAACATCAATGTGTAAATTGTGTCAGCATTTTGATTTCAGAAAATTTGTTACTACAAATAAACTTGATCAATTCTATTTCATAAATATGATTTTGGGATGTTATCTTAAACCAACATTTAAAACCACCATGGCAAATTTCCTATGTTCAATTTAACATTTTCTGAAATCTGAGAATTGTGAAGACTCAATGTTTACAGTAATATACAGCACTAAATTCATGTGTTAATGTGCCACGGGGGTCACATCAACTCTGTCATGAAGTCATGTGACCTAAAATAAAGGTCACATGACAATTTTATCATTCAAATCACATGACTTTAGCAATCAAAAGTCCTATGAGTTTGTAATCATTAAATATCATGGTTCTTTAAATACCAATTACACATAACAATCTCACTCATAACAATCTCACTCACAAACATGCGTATAAAAAAGTTAACAGACTTGGTAACAAACATGGCCTGGTCAATAACATGGAACAGACTAAACCCGCATTCACCCAACATGAAACAGACTATACACATTCACCCATTGCGGCACACAAAGAAACAATCTGCAAATTTCAAATTAAACACAAACTCCGTTATAATCGAACTGGAAAGTAACTGTATATAAACTGAAAATAATACACAAACTAAAACTTTAAACTGTTAATTCTGAATAGAAACCATATTATACAAAGGACTTCTTATTTTATCTGATTTATATATTGTAAAAGACTGACAACAAGAAAACTTATTGCAGTATATCTGATACGAATCCAAGGAAAACAGGTGATGATAAAAATGTTTTTTTCTTAACTCATAAATATGCTATTCCTCATCGGTAGACAATATTGATTCACAATTTAAAATCACCCTCCTTTACTCTATAATCACCTCATCATATTATCATTTTCTTTTTCTTGAAATACTTGGCCCTGATACCAGTAACATCTAGCAATCATTCGTCACGGAGTTGTGTAATCATCAGCCCTATCAGTGAAATTTTCTAAGACTGTATTAAGACAATTTGCATGACACACACAACTTACATTCATGGTCAAATTGTTATTATGAAACAAACTATAACAGGCATACATGATTCAGGACCAAAATTAGGCATCTTGTGGTCAAATGTGAAACAGACCATAACAGGCATATATATGGTCAAAAAGGAAATATGGTCACATACATAACAGGCATTCACTGGTCAGAAATATGAAACAGACTATGAACAATGAACAATAGGAAACAGACTATAATACAGATGAGACATCAGTGGATGCTATTCCATTGTTTGAACAGTTGTTTGAGTCATTGTTATCAGTTTTGTGCCGAGACGTTCCGTTACGCCTGGTCTTAACGATTCACGTACTCGCTGTAGTTTTTTCTCTGCACACACAGTGACAAGTCTGTTTAAGTCAGCTGCTGAGTATCCGAGCAGCATCTTCAGGTCACACACAAACTTGTACACAAATCTCTTCCCGTGTACCTACGGAAAAAACCCAACAATTATCACGATGTCACTAATCGTGAGGATGACAAAGGGAATTACATACTGTAGTATACTGGCAATTGACTCATACCACTTAAGAACCATATCCTCTTATTTATGAACTTTCATTAAATCAGAAATTCTATTCTCCTCTCAATAAATTTCAATAAATCAGAAATCATATTTATTTTCTAATAAGTGTTTATAAATTTCATTAAATTAGGAATAATACTCTTTAACTGTTAGAAAAACATTTATCAAATTAAGAACAATTTTTTCTTCTATCAATTATAAATCCAATCAGCAATGGTGTTGCAGTCCTATGATTTGAGGTAAATCTGATCAGGGGTTCTACCACAAGTTTCCATAGTAGTCAAGGGTGACCTTTTACATTTGATCTTGATCATCAATTCTAATGAGGTGTAGATCTTGTTGGTATAATTTTGAGGAGTAAATTTTTTCTGGGGGTTATGAGATGTCTTGAACACAAGGTTCTCAGGCAGTGATATTCCTATATATCATGAATTTAAGAATCCTATTTTTAATCAATATTCTCTAATTATATTAGGAATCATGTTTATTGATTGATAAACTTTCAACAAAAAAGGAATGATAATTTCTATTTATTAAAATTTCTTGAAATCATGAGATCATGATTTCCAATTTTAAGTAGATAGGTGTTCGTACAGTTAGGAATTTTACAGGAGAACTTGAGTGTCTAGTATTATAATTTATTGTGCAGAAATAAATGGAGTGACAAGAAACTTACTATACTTCTAGGTATTCAAATGCATTACATGTCAAAAAATTGCCTTACAAAAAAATGCAAAAAAAGTTCTGAAGTGATGGAGATGAAAAAACGCTTTCACATCCAAAAATTTTTAAGGCCTACATCTATTTCTCTAGTTTCAACCAGCTTCGGTCCAAAATAGGTTGAAATACACAACACTCTTTAGTACATATAGTTAAACATCAAACTCACCCTAACACTCAAGAATTTGTTAAGGGGTACCACCTACAGAACTTAATTGATAATTTTCTTCGAAATATTAGAAAGGAAACTGGACCATGGATAGAAATTTTTTTTGAGTCCTGTGGTCTTCTAGATGTTTTCTGGGAACAACTCCTAGTTTAAAGGATCTCGCTACTACACAAGCTTTTTATACATTACAGATTTACTGACCTTTGCAATCATATCTCCGTCATAATAATATCTGAGGGCACGACTCAGTTTCTCATAATTCATTGTAGGCTTGTTTTTTCTCTGACCCCACATCTGTGCCACCATTTCGGGGTTATTCAGTTTGAATTCTCCATCGTCTCCCAGCCACTGGATCACTTCCCGACAATCCTTGTCAGTGAGAAGCTCCAGTAGGAATTGCCAAAGCTGAATCTGACCATTGTTTCCTATTGATCAAAAAAAGAAGTTGTGTAAGACATTTAAAAGTTAGGTGTTATAACAGCCGATTGGAAATATTAAACATAATGATGAAAACTGACACAAATTATACACGCAAAGTCACACATGTGAGAACCCAAAAGTAATTCATGCATACAATCCTATTGTCATAATCTGTGTTTCATCAACTTTGTCACCAGTGGGATGATATTTATGGAGGACTGACAAAAAAGTAAATCCTTGTAGCAATGTGCTTTAAGACTTTTTTTTGAGTAGTCACTCTATACCAAAAGAAATTCCAAGGAAGAAAAAGATTACAGATATACCTGAAGAGAATTTTTGACAATATACTGTAAATATTTTACCTGTTCTGTTACCAGGAGAGGATAGTCTTTCATCACCGGTGATTCGAGGAGATCGAGGTCGATGATGTTTGATTGTCCGCACACGACCTGTAGATAACATCAATTTATTACTGAAATGATGATTGATAATTTGTTTGAGCTGTACATGTTTTCTGTCACTTCACTAAACGCTTGAAAATTTTGATATGTATCATGTATCATCCATTTGTCTTACAATTTAGGACTATAATTGTCACCACTGGAATTTTGTATGTCAATAATAAGTATTTTCAATTAACCATTGCTCATACTGACCGTAAAATTTCATATATGAGGATTTCATACCATTTCAAATTTTCATTAAATCGTACAAGGGAAATAACTCACCATCCTGTCCTCCTGATGTTGAAACTGTGATGGTTGTGATTGCATGTGGGGTAGGTTGCTGCATCACAGCTAAGTAAAAATTACAGAAATATGTAAGTAGTGATTAAAACTACTGTTAACCTACGTTTTTGTTTCCTGGATTCTTGTCCTTTGATTAAGAAAGTCCACAAAGGTAGTGACCATTATATGGTATAACATTAAAATGTCTGAAATGACAGAGGTCTGGTAATAGAAGGAAGCTATCTATACTGGTTTTCTATTAAAATCAAACTGATCTCTCAGCTTGATCAAACATGTACTATATTGTTCTGCTAATGCATGAAGTTATTTTTACAAGTCTGTTTCTTTTTGTGTATACAATTCCTTAAACGAAAATTGCATTTCTCATTTGTCATTTTTATGATGTAAGTATCTAGTACACTACAGGAATATGAGATAAAACCTAATCTGCCCATTGACACCTACCAACAAACTTGCACTTTCTGAGCAGTTCCAAATGAGTCCAAAACACATCTCCTTTGTCATTAGGGATAAGTTTGATAAATTCTGGGTGTGAGAGTTCACACAGCTGTTTGCCATTGATACTAAACATATCTGCATTCACTCCGTCTAATTGGAACTCCTTCATCGCCCACTCGATCCAGTGTTTGACATGAACTTCACTCCATTGGACTGGATCTGAACAAATAGACAAGCAGTATGGTTAAGTGAAAAGAGCAATTATGTAAACAAGAGATGAAGCAATAAAAATATTGCATTAAAATGCCGTAAAATGTGTCAGAATTAAGCTCAACATGTTTACATAATGGTGATTTATTGTATAGTGTATTTGTGAAATCACCCATCATAAGCCACAGTGATGATACAGGAACTATCGGTGCAGATCTGGTAAAAATTGCAAAAGGAAGGCAACTCTGGTCAATAAAATTAAAGAAACTATATCTTTAATAAATGCTGAAGTTTAGACTTCTTACGATTTGCTATAGCAACACATTTAAAGTATTTCAGACAGGAAATATACATTTACAAAACTGTTGATAATTTACCGAATGGAATTTTCAGTCGTTCTTGTTCCCTTCGGAAATGCTGGTCGACAATCCATCGAGTGACATTTTCGGACTCTTCTGGCAAAGGTATAACAACTTTGGCAGGAGATACTGTCTTCTGTTGGACAGCTGGAGGTGTTGGGGCTGCTGTAGCGAAAAACGAAATAAAATATAAATGTAAGGGAGGTAATCACAGATAAAAGGTAATCATATCAGAACAGAAATACTCAACTGCTATATTTAAAGGTCATACATAGTGATCAAGAACAAATCAACATAGGTCACACTGCTGTTTCAATACCATTTCAGTTCTTGTTACACATATTAGCATTAATTCCACCAACCGAGCATGCAGTTTTGTATTTTCAAAATAGCTGCTGCATAATATCATCTTAAATTGTTCAAATAGAAAGTTCTTTCAAATATGTAATTTATTCTTGATTTGAGATATATTCAACTTTGATTAAACTGGTGACTGCAAATTGCATCTCGACCAAAAAAAAAAGCAAACACCAAAATTATCTTTACTTATGAAGGAATGTAAGAAGCTTGTCAAAGTTTTTTTTTGGGGGTTTCTTTTGTGCAGAAAACTGCTAATTGTTAAGTATGCGTAGTGATTTGACCCTACCTGGTTCAACCTGTGGTTCCACCTCATCTGCAGGCTTGAGGATATCAACGATATTTATCTTTGGTTTCACACCTGCTAACACAAGGAAAACAAACATCCAAACAGCATTCTGAAGAAGATCATGATCACTATAAACAACTTAGACCACTCCTACAGCTAAGGAAGAGCAGTATTAACAATTTCTAATACAGGATGTGTTGTGTATTCATGAATGCCCATTCTTATTGGCATCTTCACATTTCAATATTCAATGGACATTGTTAAAACAGTAAACAATTGGGGACCTATTTTGTGAAGTTACTTATGTCGCTGTATCAACACTACATTGGCTGTTCAAAGAACTTCTGGATTTCTGTGAGATGTCTTCATGAAAGATATATCTTAATGCAACTAACTCAATATACTTTGGCATATAGCCAAGAAAAGCCTTCTTATTTGGTTTTTTTCTTATTTTGTCGTGATGAACATCTAATGATACAGGTGTTCACAGGAAGGGTCAGGCTATTTTTTTCATTTCTATGACAATAAACAGTGCCAATATGTATTATTTTCCATCACCACAGATCCCTGAAGTGATGTGTTCTCCAACATATTGTCAACTTTACACAGATCCCTGAAGTGATGTGCTCTCCAACACATTTCAAACTTTAAACAGATCCCTGAAGTGAAGTGATCTTTGACACATTGCCAACTTTACACAGATCCCTAAAGTGAAGTGCTCTCCAACACATTGCCAACTTTACACAGATCCCTAAAGTAATGTGCTCGCCAACACATTGCCAACTTTACACAGATCCCTAAAGTGAAGTGCTGTTTGACACAATGCCAACTTTAATCAGAGCTGGATCCTACTCTATCCTTGTAAACTGTCATACCTCTGTTTTATAATCATTCTTACTTCAGACTAATAACTTGATTAATCACCGACAAATCAAGAGTATTACACCAAAGCTTAAATGGTAAGTAACTATACAAGAGGCCAAATGGGCCTGTATCACTCACATGCAATTTAATGGGTATTTTTTCTAAAAAATACCTTATATTTCACATAGCTGACAACTGGGCTTGGTCTCAGGGTCCAATTATAAAGATCCTTTGGTTCATCAGAAAAAGTTTTTGGAAGATTTTAACTCCTATGACCTTGAATTTGGGACAAGGTACTTGTCGGTCTTTTTCAGACTTCATCCCAGGGACATACCAGCTATATAGCATGATTCTCGTCATTTTGGCTATTGAGAAGTTGTTAATATGGGAAAATTGATGCCAGATGGATGACAGCAACACCCAAGCATAAGCTCACTAGGTCCTTCATGGTAAGCTATTACTACTGTATTTTCAGGGTTACAAGTCATACCAGTTTATAAGCTGCAGGGCAGTTTTCACCAATTTTTTTTCTATTTGATCCACATATAAGCCGCACCGGAATATAAGTAGCACCTTTTTTTACCATAAGGTGACCACTATTGTTGATGCCCAACTCATGAGGAGAAAAGGAGCAGCTTATAATATGGAAAGTACAGTATGTTTCTCTTTTCCAACCATCGAGTTATAGGCTTTGTCATTGAATGATATTTTCTCTCCATTGACCCCGTTTAGAAGGTTGGCAGATTTGAGATCAGAACTCTGGTCTAGGTTTAATCCTTACCTGGCTGGGACTTTACTTCCAAGTTAATCTGTACCATGCCTTCTCCTTGAACACACTGGTCAACTAAACTCTTGTATGTGTCCAGCTACACAAAACAACATCAAAGCATATCAATAACCAATATGGTATAAGTGTCATATAAACTCTTGAATGTAACCAGCTAAACAAAAAAAAAACATCAATGGACATTAATAGTCAATTTAGCATCAACTCTTATAACAGTGCAGTGATAAATCTATATGTGAGTCCAAAGTTATGAATTTTGATAGGTCTCTGTGAATTTCTAGAAATATCAAAATTTTAATTGTGGAACCCATTGTTTTAGAAATAAGATTAAAAAGGACTCATGAAAACAACCTCTAGATTTATTACTGACCAGGCTTCTGAGGCAGAAATTTGAAATTTGTGATACCTGCAGTTTCTTTGGATATAATTAGGTTACACAAAAATATAATGAAATAAAAATAACAAAAATTAAGAGAGTTTTTAAGGGAAGTCAATATCTTCTTAGAGGATAAACTTCCCCTAAACATAATTAAATTTTCTTTTTTCGGTTGTGGGTGGGTTGGGATTTTTCTTTTTCCCACAGATATACTGATGGCATGCAAGTTAAGCCTTAAAATATATGTTCAAATACAGTGACAATTATGTAAGTTTTACAAATACTTGCCAATATTGTGTCTTGTAAGAAGAACTGATGCTCAGCCAGTGAACACTGAAGCCTCATTTCAAGTAATGATTTGAGCGTGGAAAGAGGTTCAGCGATGTCCATGTGTTGAATGATAAGGTTCTGGTAATGTGGTGCTGGCTGCTGATTGGTCTGTTGAACAACCTCTTCCTCATACACCACCCTAAGTCATAAGATCAACAAATTGAGTTGTAAAAATAAAGAACAAAAACAAAAAATCATTCCTCTTACCCCAAAACTCATTTAAATATTATCAACATGGTATTGTAACGTCAGCTTTGAAATACAAATGATTCAAGAAGCCATTGGCATTTATTACAGCAAGCTGTCATAAATTTAAAGGTTTATACCAAAATACAAATTTAATTCACAGATAATCTTGAACCTAAGACAAAGGTCATCTTTCATATATCAGTCATATGCAATATAACTATCCAACTATGTTTGCCTAATGTGAAGAATTATCTCATGATGGTGATGAACGATTGAAACAATTCTGTAAATTCTGTGTGTTTACCCGTCAGCTAGGGAGACTTCCTGTGCCTCAGTTATGTCAGGTTCTACTTCCTGGGAGATCTGCACTTCCTCTATCTGTACTTCCTGGGGAGCTGCCTCTTCAATGGCCTCTGTCTCGTCCAGTTCAAGTTTGAGCTGTTTCATGGGCGGTTCTTCATCCTCACCAAGGTCCTCCTCCACCTCCCCTTCAGGATGTTTCATTGCTGGAGAAAAATGGAATCAATAATCAAACAGTGATGTCATTTACTCTTTAAACTCTCACAACTCTTAATCCTTATAATTCTTCTTACAAAGATATCAACTGCAGCAGGTGGTGGTCTAAGACCTAGCCAACTAAACATTAACTTGTAGTATCATTCAAAATGCTTCTGAAAAACAAAACTTGCTCTTAATTATTAGAATCTTGTGAAAAATATGACCTGAACATTTTCAACAAAATTATTCGTATTTAAGGCTAATTTGTTCAACTTTAATGAAATATGTTGTCAGTTCATGTTTTGAACATACCAATCTAAATAAATTTTCATAATGATTTTTCATTTCCAATTTCAGATTTGTAATTTTCATGTTCAAAATTTAATGACAGCTATGCAAATTTGCTAAAACTTGAAATTTCCTCTTATTTTACCCAAGCAAGGTGATTGTTTGACCTTATTGTGTTTATCTTCCATAAATACTATGGTTAATATGCATTACTGTCCCTAGTAAAACATTATAATTTATAATCTAAGTATACAGTATATGTGATCATAGAAATTAATCTTAAAAAAAAATAATTGAATTCTTCTTAAGACTGTGTATCACATACATGTAATGAAGATATATTCTCAATGCCAATATTTTCTTACCACCAAAAGAAAAGTAACAAATGAAAATGGTCTTTTATACATTGACAATGGAAATTATTGTTTGTCTGATAATTTTGTGACATCATATTAATTTTTTAATTGCTTCAGTATTCATTTGACCTCATTTTCAAACTTACACATGGAGATGTATCCGTCCTCCGTCATGGTGACGGTGATGGTATTATTGTCCCCCTCCATAGAGACTGGACTACAGGCACACAAACCTAGTAATGCAATGGGAGATTATTTATATAATGTGGTATATTTACAGCTTTCAGCTTAAGAATGGGATTTAAAGTTAATTTGAACCATCAATTCTTTATATAAAAACTTTTGTGTTTGACACAGATCTTTGTCTAACTAAAAAATTCTAAAATCTGTAATTAAATACTAGGCTTTGTTGGAATATTCACATTTAAGCTATCTTTGCAATAGTTTCTGATACATATGTTCCAGTTGACATAGATTTATAGAAAGGAATAAAACACTATGCCATCACAAAAAACATTGTTTCCTTGTGGTGTTTCATAACAACTACATCTAATGTATATATATCACTTTAATTTCATGCATTAATGAACAAGGCATTTTCATCATGTAAATAAGGAAGTTTTATTTGAATCCCGAAACATTTATCGTTTCTGCTTAAAAAGTTTCCTGGTCAAACTACCGTCTGATTAACTATCTTAAAGAATAAACGACCTTTTGGTGTTTACAGAGAACTATAATATGTATATGAAGATTCACAATAACATGTACTATATTATCTTAACAAATGTTTAACAATTACACATAAGATAGGATTTTTTATTGTCAACTCAAGACTTTAAACAAGTTCTGAAGCTTGTCTACTACGAATGCCTGTACTTCGTGTATGCTGTGACCTTTTAAAAATTGAACCTTAAAAAATAAAATGAAATTTGTGACTGTATTTCGATCAAAAACTGTAAACATGTGTGGTGTTTCCAATCCTTCACATCGATATTTTCGTTTGAAACTATATCCCTTGGAAACTTGCATTGAAAAACTTGGTAAAGACTTTATACATTCAGTCCCTCATTCGACACGCCCAGTTGAACACGCTGTTTTGTTTGAATATGGCAGACATCTTGAAATTTTTAAACCCACAATGGTCCAAAGGACAGGAGAAGATGACACTATCATATAAAATGTTTCTGGTGGTTTGGACAAAACTTGTCACCAGAGAGGAAATGAGTGTCTGCTACAGCGCAAACATATATCAAAACTTCCGGCTTTTCAAAACCACGTTCTACATCCTGTTTGGTTTGAGAGTTGTTGACCAGTGCGCGCCCGTGATAAAAGACGAATTTTAGGCCCTTAACGCGTTAAATATAGACAAGACTTACCTAAATATTTGTGTCCAGAACGTTACAATGGCTCGTCGTGCGATATCTTCTAAGAAAACTTCGTTAATTAATAATTTTTTGACCGGAAATTTCTTTCAAACGGAAATGCCAGACAAAGCAGGATCTTCCTTTAGGTCACGTGACTAGAATTTTGATAATTAATGCAGGGTTAATACAATTTACGGGCTTTTAACAAAAACGAAACGCATCGACCAAAAATTGTAACATTTTCAAGGGGAAATTAATGTAAGGTTTCATTTGTCATTTTTCTTTCTTGGTTTATTTTCGTATCGATATATATATCACTCGTATTGAAGAAAAATAGTGAAAGACCGGCAATATCACTGCTTTAATCAGCTCTCGTACAAAACTGGCAAGTCTCGTCCTTTTCGTTACTTCACGATATACCATTGCCACAGAGGTCAGTATCACACGGCTTTATGACATTTTGCTTTAAAAATCATTCGATCTCTAATTAAAATCACAGAGAACGTATTTTTTAATTAATACGGGAATGATTATTATAACTTTTCATACCATGACGATATTTACCTTGTTACTAAAGTTCGACACGGTGCTGTCAGTACTACACTAGCATGGTGCCGGTATCCGCTTAGCAGTGTCTTCTGTATGAAGTGCAGGACAAAACAAAGTCAAACGATGTTCCCCTGCAGTATTTGGAGAAACAATTGCACCAGATATCCCTTTTGCAAAATTTCATAATATTTTTTTTGTATTGCTATTCTGTCAACTGTTTCACTGCTTACTTTAAGTTTTTGTCTCTGAGGAAGGTTCTGTCCCCTGCCCCTGGTGAAGACCTATCATTCTTAAACTTGATAAGTGACCTGCTGATCATGTGCCTGTGGTATGGCACTGTAATCAGCTGCATGCAGTACATTAGTTCCACACTATAACAAAGAGGCCTGCAAGTGGGATACAGTCGGTGCCAGTGACTGTTTCGGTACCTCAATAAAAATGTTTTGGTACATTTTGAAAGGTGTTGAGTACCTGTACCTTAATTTGTTTAGGTACTTTGACAGTTGTTTTGGTGCTCCCTAATGATTTTCCTTTTATTATTGATAAATCAATATTCCTCACTTGTAATTTATTATAATTTACCTTTGTATTTTTTTAACAATCACGCTGATCAGTTAATCATGGCTTTCATGAACATGTACAACCAGTGCGAAACCTTCATAAGTACTGAAATTATTTAAGTGAATACCAAAATGATGGATACTGAAAAAAACGGGTACCGAAACGGCTAGAATTCGCTTACAAATACATTGCAGTTTCCAGAAAAAATGCTTGCAAAACTTGTATACATCTAGGCATCAGGTTTTGATGGACATTATTACCTTAAGCAATAAAATAAATGATCCATATGATGCTGTATTCTTTTTTTTTTTTAATTTTCTTTTTTTTTTATTCAGGATTTTCAGCAATATATGGCATTGGTTACATTCATAACATCATATTCACTCCAGCATCACACAGCTCACATTTACGTTAACTTGCATCAGTTGATAAAAAGGAGATACACATATATTACCTTATTAAGAGAAACAGGAAAAGAAGAAAAATGGAGGAGAAAAGCAGAGAAAGAAAAAAGAAAGACCGGGGGAAAAATGTTTTTGCACTGTAGCTCATCACTATGCATATATTTGGGTGATACTGTATTCTTTGTATAATGTATATTGTGTGATGAAAAATTATTGAACCTTTTGTTTTATTGCAGTTATCATGCTGGCTTCAAGATTAGCAGCATTAGGACGCTCTGTCCAAGTCCAGGTTCAGCGAAACTTTGGTGTTTCGGCAGTTGTATGGCAGAAGACAGACCCCATACAGCAGCTTTTCTTGGATAAACTTAAAGAATATAAACAGAAGTAAGTGATTAAGGCTAAGTTTACCTGTACTTCTTTAGGGACTAGCTTTAGAACAAATACCTAACCCCAAAAACCTTATAAATGTATGAATTCTCAATGTCAACTTAGAAAAGTTGCTCTTATGGGAAAAAAAAACCCCAACTTTGTTGCAAAGAATTTACTGAAGTTGGTTGATTTGCCTCAGAATGATAGATCTATTTTCTATTTTTCTGGGTCTGCTTTTGATGTTTATGGAAACTTAGCCATATCTACATTGTGTATTGATTGATCTTGAAGTACCATTAATTTCACACTAGAGGTAGATATTCCAACACAAAGTTGATTCAGTGAGCATATTTCTTTATTTTCCTGATCTGCTTTGGGTTGGAAAATGTCCTGAAGGGGCTATTGATGAGTTTTAAGTGATTTTAACAAGTTATGGAAAGCAAATCTGTAAGCCTAGTACATACCTGGTATGCATTGATACATTCAGATATTCTTAAAAATATGCCATGGATTCCTTGCAGGGTAAAGTGTCTTGAAAATAAACTGATCACAACTGGTATATTCAAGTGAAAATCAAATTTAATAAAACTAAACTGGAAAGTGGCCATTTATAACGTATCATTTCGAGTGATACAGGCTAGAAGGGCCTTCTGTTTTAAACTGCTGAAAATGGGTTGAAAGACAATATTTGTAAATGCTTGAAAAGTACATAGATAGATCTGCATGAAACATGAGGTTTGAAAGTCCACCTTTGTCATTGCAACATCCATAGACCTGAATATCATTAATAAAATCAAATAGCTATCAAAAATCTTATACTGCACCCAGGCTTGTATACAGTATAGATCAAAATAGTACATTTTGTTTTATATTTACTCAAAGAAGGCCATTGACTGGATACAGTTATATTTGAGAATATATTTATGATATATGATGGTAAAATTAAAGTGAATATTCTGAATTCTTCAAATCTGTCCGATGGACAAACTGGAAATATGTTGTCCATACTTCCAGAATAGCTAGCAAGTGAATCTACAGTCAGGTCCTTTCATAATCCTACCTTCTTGTTCCTCCATTCTGTTCATCTTCCCTTCCAGAATATTTTTACTGTTTTCCTTTCTCTTTAATGTATTTTTCATATCCTCAAATATTTTTTCGAGAGGAGGGTACAGTTACTGCCTTGTCTGTCCGACCATTTGGGTTCGGAGCATAACTTTGCCCACAGTTACATATAAGCAAGGATCATGAAACTTAGTGTATCATCAATTGAACCAAATTCAGGGTCCCCGACCCCTTGTTTACAGAGTTATGGGAATTTGTTTAAAATATCTTGTCCAGAACATAACTTTATTTGCATTAAGGTAGGATAATGAAACTTGGTGTACACATTGATCATTTGAAGATATTATAAAATGTACAACTGTTAGCAGCCCCAACCCCTTTATTAATGTTATTGCCTGCATTTAGTTTGGGATATTGAAAAGTGATGCACATTAAAATGTATACATCATTCATACTAAAGCAAGGTGCTAAGTAGCAAGGTCAGGGCCTGTAACCCCTCAGTACAGAGTTATTGCCCTTTGTGAAAATTTTGTGTCTAGTGGAGTTGTTTTCTGTGAGCATTCATTAGTTTCATTGATACTGTTATTGTTGTTTTCATGTAACTTGTTTGATGAAATATGTTGAAGTTGATTTCATTTTTGGAAAATTTGTGTTTGATCCATTTTCACAAAGAAAACAAATTTAAATAAAATTAATAACTGACCCTTGTTTATCTCTGCAGGAATATTGCTAAGGAGGCGGCCACCGACGCTGACTTGCTAGGTGAACTGGATAGGCTGAAGGGCATGTACAAAGTACAGCCAGGAGAAGACATGACAACACTCTCAGTTCCAAAGTACCAAGGTACAGTAAAAACTCAGGGATAAGGGTGACTTTTGGGCCACTAATTGGATGGGGCCTTTTTAAGTAGGCATTATCTCCTCTTGTTTGAATAGATTATGTGGGGTTTAATACTGAAAACAGTTTGATATCCTTGTCCATAATTAGCCAAGAATGCACAATTAATAGTCATCCACAATGTTGGCTTCGTTCTTCTTGTATCGGACATTCAGGAACTTTTTGTATTGTGTTTTCATTATATTTGTGATTTGTAAAATCAAAATCCAGAAAATAATTTCCAGACAGAAAAAGAAATAGCTACACAGTATTTGTATTGTTCTTGCATTGAAAAATTGCAAAAAAAAAAAAAAAAAAACATTTTAGGACGACTGCAGATATGGACTGCTTGTTTTTAAGTACAGAACAAAGTATTTGTCAACATTTTAAATACAACCTTTCAGGAATATTCAGTACAGAGATCCCTTCGTATATAGATATAGGCTTTTGAAGGCTTTGTCAAGTCTCACCAGAGAGCAAAATAAAATCTGTAGGTTTGCTTTTACCGGTATATCTTCTACAATTCTGGTTCAACTAGTCACACCAATAACCAAATTTACTTTATAGGCATAATCACCATGACATGAAGTTGTGTGTTCCTGAATGGCAAGTTGGTTCAACAGGAGGAGACACTTGTATATTGTTAACAGATTTCCGCTTTCATTTTTTCGAAAACTTTGTCGGTTTTGTAACTATGACTTAACTTCTTTTTTGTCTGTAATATGTTCTTGTTATTTTATCATTTTAGGGGAGTTATTGTCCATTGTTTATGTAAACAAAAGTCTCTAAAATTTAGTATATTTTGTCTTGTTATTAAAAGCATTTTGATTAAACAATACAAAAATGTATTTCAAAGAGTTATTTCCCTTTAGTCTTATCATCGTTTTTATCTTGTCCAGAGGTTTCTTTCAGTTCTCTCTTTAAAACTTGGGAGGCTTTAGCTTATCATTAAAACATATAGCACAGATTTTGATTCAATAAATCATGAAATCTCTGTTTGGTTTGGGATGGAAATGTATTGTTTCTTTGTGTAATGCTTTTGTAAACGTTTTTGTGTTTTTCAGATATTTCAGTAGAGAACTATGAACTAGGTTTAACAACAACAGCTGATGGAGTGGAAGTGGTTGAAGCACAATGAATTGATAATGAAGTCATTGGAGAATGAAGTTTGATTTTGTTAAAATGCATTGTAACATCTGTGTAATCAGGAACAAAAAATAACATCTTTTTGGAACCGAAAACAAATAAACCTGCAGTTGTTTTAATATTCTGGATGAAAAGGAAACAGTTGTGATATATAAAGTGTGAATGTAGATTATTTCACGTTTGTCTGATTTGTATATAAAGATCATTGGATTTGTTATGTAATGGGAGAGTGTTACATGACAATCCAGTGCGAAGCGATACATGTTGTTATGTTGTATTTTGTAGTTTACGACTGTTACACTTTTTGGACAAATATCAATTTTGTTAGGGCTATTATAGTAAGACACATCTATACCACCCCACGACTCCCAGTTTTGTTTAGGACTATTCCAGTAAAACATCTATACCATCCCAGGACTCCAGGTTATGTTGAGGACTATTCCAGTAAAACATCTATACCACCCCAAGACTCCAGGTTATGTTGAGGACTATTCCAGTAAAACATCTATATCTCCCCAGGACTCCAGGTTATGTTGAGGACTATTCCAGTAACACATCTATCTCACCCCAGGACTCCAGGTTATGTTGAGGACTATTCCAGTAAAACATCTATACCACCCCAGGACTCCAGGTTATGTTGAGGACTATTCCAGTTAAATATCTTTATCACCCCAGGACTCCAGGTTATGTTGAGGACTATTCCAGTAACACATCTATCTCACCCCAGGACTCCAGGTTTTGTTGAGGACTATTCCAGTAAAACATCTATACCACCCCAGGACTCCAGGTTATGTTGAGGACTATTCCAGTTCAACATCTATACCATCCCAGGACTCCAGGTTTTGTTAGGGCTATTCCAGTAAAACATCTATCTCACCCCGGGACTCCAGGTTATGTTTAGAGCTATTCCAGTAAGCTCTAAGCTATTAGGGATATCTACATAAAACGTTATAGGTAGATAGAACATAGATAAGGAAAAGTGCAGTGCACAAGAATGATCACTTTTATTTGCATAATGTAGGAGTTACTGCCCTTTGTTATTTTTCATGGTTAAATTTTGTCTGGAGTATTCTCTAAAACATTAAGAGATACCAACATAAAGCTTCATAAGTAGATAGGCCCAACAAGGAGAAATACAGTGCACCAGAACCATCACTCTCTAACTGCCATTTGTTATTTTTAATTCTTAATCTTTGTCCCAATCTGGGAGCAAAACCCATCTCTGACGGCCCTTGTTTGATCGTGTTGTCCATAGAATTTGATTGATCATTACCTAGTAAGCTTGAAACCATTCTTCATTAAAGGTTGTAAGTCTTTTGCAAAAGACATTAAATGTCGGTTACCTTTATCAAGCAAAGAGTGTAAATTATTAAGTCTGTCTTTGTTACAGTTGATTTTTAGATAAGTGGACAGATGTGCCCAGTCAGCTGTCAAATAGTCCCCCCCGCGATGTGCTTTCATACAAATAAAACTCTATAACACTGCAGGCAATGGTGGGCAGAATGGATGAAACCTGAAAGAGTTTGCACAAAACAAAACCTTCGATTTAGACCTAAAACACAAGATTTTGAATGTATGGTCCACAAGATTTCAAATATAAATCCCAGATTTAGAATATAAAAAAAATATTTACAACCTAAAGCACAAGATATCGAAAACAATAGATTTAGAATTTAATTCACAAGATTTAGAATATGAAACACGAAGATGTATGATTTACAAAAATTTGGAATAGTATAGATTCCGAGATTTTGAGTAAAGTCATAGAATACTAATTACAAAATTTTGAATATAGAACATAAATCGCAAAACTTAGAATACAGAATACAAAATTTTGAATATAAATCACAAGATTTAGAATTCTAATCGCAAGATTTTGAATATACAACACAGATGTGAAATAACATTTAGAAAATGGGGGATATTTTTCATTGTGGACATTAACACAACCAATTAAGAATATGGATTGAAGTTTTATATCATAAGACAGGTATTGACCATAAATCACAGATCATTGACTTTTTTTCTCTCCTTTTAGTTTTGACAAAATATTAATGATAATATATGTAATACAAATAGTTTTGACAATAAATCACACGATTTGTAGTGTGGCAACGTTTTACACGCCGCAGTAAACGGCTTTTGAAATCGCCTGTAGTCCATGTAGTAAATGCAAATTCATACCTGTCATTTTAGTAAACGGATTCTAAACATGACTATTGCTGCTGTCACATTGTATATATAAATTGTCATGTCCAAATTTCTTGTTTATTTAAGAAAAAATAAGGTATGTTTAAACTACGCTCAACTTAAAGATTTATCTTACATTTTGTGACCCCCCCCCCCCCCACCACCACCACACCGTCGTTACAGTGTAACAGGTGTCACTCTGTTGTGAAGCCTCTATCTCGACGTCATCCAGTGTTATCGGGCGCTCTTAAGATGTTTCGACCCTGAACCACAACGTCTAAAGCTGTCTTGACGGCAGAGGTAGCCAAACCACTACTTGTCCATGTCGACTTCCACATCGACTCGTCACGTTGGTGCCATGTAATCAAAAAGACACTATCTCGACAGCTTCCGTCAAACGTCTAACGGCTGCACATTTATCTCTTCCAGTGACTCCTAGCGTTTGCAACATCCTCCACAAAAATTGGCGTTGCCATCTCGGCAATTTGATCTTCTTCCCTTTTTTATCAAAATATATTTCAATATATATATATAATGAGGATAGGTCACAAGATTTCCAACTTTCATCAAGCCCTCTTCTCCCCCGAAAATATATATCACACCTAAAATGTACTTACTATGACGTAAATATATATATATTATATGTTTATTTATGGGAGAATAGGTAGGTAGAAATTGGATGGAAATAAATGTAAATAGAGGGGGGATGTGGAGGCCTTTTCTATGTTCACTTTTGAAGAATATTACCGAAACCTGGAATAGTTTGATGAAGAATGTTACAGGTTGAGTTGGTGAATCTTTCCCCGACTTATCAGTCAATAGTGAACACACATCTGTTCCATTCGTCCGGTTCATATTTGTTTCTTTGAGTTGCTTTCTTCTTCCTTTCACGGACGTCCTCACATCCTTCTCACCTTGGTTCCGTTTAGAACTATTGCGATAAGAAGTTTGGACAACTGTGACCTTGCGATGTCAAACTTCAAAGTTTTTGTCATAATGTCTGGGAAGACAGGTTTTCTATCCATGTCCACCACTCCAGTGGGAGAGCTCAGTACAAGGTACAGAGAGTATTCACGAAATCATTGAAAATAAACTTCCCCGAAAATTAATAATATTGTAGTATATTGCCTTTTCACTATAGTAATAGATAATGACTGTGATGAAATCATATATAACATCATTTTGATTAACATTCTGCTTATCCTATTTAACGGATGGTATTGCAGTATATGCATACAAATTAGTTGAATAACATTATTATGACCAGAAGGCCACAAAGTCGAATTCGACGGAACTAGGGCAAAACACAAAACAAAAGAAAAAGAGACCATTAAATGGTGCAAAAAGAATCATACTTAGTCTTTGCTTTAACATTGTTTGTATTTCAAAATTTCCTTTTTTGTTAAACAGTTGTTTGATAAACATTGTTTACTGTGGATTCAAAAACAAGCAGAAAGGTATCGGGCGTGTCGAAAGGTAAAGAGTCTTCTGCTTTATTAGTCATGTAAAGTTTGGTCAATCTGAGTAAGTAATGCCACGTTCATGAATAAGAACAAAGTTTTCAACGATACCTTCAGGCAAACATATTGTTATAAAAAACCAACAAAAACAAAAACAAAAAACAAAAAAAAAACAAAAAACAAAAAACAAAATGGGAAGAAAAGAAAAAGATGCAGTCCATTGGTCCCACAGAAGCTGCAAAAACCATAGCGACGTAGTTTCTTTATTTCACTCATTTTCCCGGATGTAAAACTCATATCAAATTGCCAAGAACAAAATTTTTTCCGACTGGAGTCGAAGTATAAATGTAATTATGTATCAACTTAGAAATGAAGCCAGTGATTTTAAATTGGATCTTTTTCCTTCACGATTTAAAATAATTCTCCGTCATGTACTTGCATTCGAGGTGAAGACACTGCAGAACAATTTTCTTCTCTGTCCACTTTTCAATCATTCACGGTTAAGACTTGCAAATTAGCTGACAAACCAAAATATCACTCAGAACCACTTTTATTTAAACACAAGTGGTGTTTATGAAACAGTATGCATCCGGTTTCAACAAAATTTTGAGATGTGACATTAAAAATGTACTGTGTAAGGCATGTGCTGATTGCATGTACACTTTGTGAAACTCTTATGTCTTCATTGTGCAATAGTTAAGGCCAATGCTTTTTACAAGGTAGGTCAGAGGTCACGGTCAATGTCACGTGGTAAACAAATGGTACCACCTGAAAAGGAAAATACATGCCACATATAAGAGTAACAGACAAACGAATAGTTAGACAAACAGCACAAACACAATATATCCCCGATCTTTTGATCCGGGGGCATAATAATACTTCATGGATGTCAAGAATGCAATGAAGAAAGGATTTTTTTAAAATAGAAACCCTGACCTTGATCAACGTCAAAATAAGTTGTTCTTGAAAAACCAACATCCCCTCCCAGCTCCCCCACTAAAAAATAAAATAAAATAACCCCCCCCCCCCCCCCCAAAACCCCCCCCCCCCCCCCCCCCCCCCCACCCCACCCCAAAAAAAAGGAAACACACACAAAACAAACAAAAACAAAAAAAAAATATAAAAAAGAACAAACAAAAACACAAAAAATCCACGAAACATTGCCTGAAAGAAGAATAATAATAATAAAACAAACGATGTGCATTATATTGGCATAACATCTATCTTCAACCTCAAATGATTGTATTTATTAGATACAAGGGTGTGAGATGTACAGTTATGATAAAAACCCACCGGTAACTGGATTAACTCATGGTTAATCATACTGGTGAGCTCATTCTTGCGTAGGTCCGAGACAAAATTCGACAGGTATCTGTAAAATTTAATTTCTACCGTCTTGTGCAGGATCCCGACAAAAAAATGAATCGATCCGTCCCATGTCTACCGTCTAGTGCAGGATCCCGACAAAAACGGTAGATCTATCCGTCACGTGTCTACCGTCTAGTGCAGGATCCGTCACATGTCTACCGTCTAGTGAAGGATCCCGACAAAACGGCAGATCTATACGTCACATGTCTACCGTCTAGTGCAGGATTCCGACAAATTTGTACGGCAGATCCATCCGTCACATGTTTACCGTCTAGTGCGGGATCCCAACAAAAACGGCAGATCCATCCGTCACATGTCTACCGTCTAGTACTGTAACACAAAAAAGAGTGTCGTGCCAGATAACACAGTACAGCGGGTGAGTTAAAACTAGGTTATCGAAGCACAAGCGGTTGTCCAGGCGTGTGTACATATGTGGAGCAGGTAAGTATTCTGTACATTTATAGTATACCTATATATATGTAAGCACACGTACAAAAGCAATTTGAGGTATTAATGGAGGAAGTCAGTGAAGCAGACACAATCTGACCAACATATTACTATTCGGTTTATCATAAACTTCCCACTCTTTGGTTTAGGGTGGCACGCTTAGGTCTTCATCGCGGTTATTTTATAATTCACATCGTGGGATCCAAACAGCACTAACTCTAAAATATGTCACAACCTGGGATCAGTACTGTTACAATAACATGAGCCACAGTCTGGTATACATATTGCTGTATGTATTTTTATTGATCACAAAAGTGAATAAACACTACTCGTATCAGATAAGACGGTTGTGTGTTATTCTAGGGAACCCACGTGTTGGCGAGATATGGTAATTTCAACCCTCGAAAAATGATTTTGAAGATGTATGACGGTATCTAATCATCTGTGTTTATTCCGGCCTGTTTCAAATGTATTATGGAAATGAATTATCATTACGTTTGTCTTTGTAAAATTTATGATGTAGATTTCAAATCGGTCAAAATGATAAAAAAAGGTCGTTAATTGCCTGATTTTTATTCCATATTTGTCGTTATTCTATCTCTAGGCTAGTTTGAAGGTAGAGCAGAGAAATATCTATCCCCGGAGGAGGTCCCGATAGTCTAACCATCGGCAAAGCCTAGGGTTGAACTGTCGTGAACCTCCTCCTCGTGTAGAGAGCTCCCTGTCTTACCCTCAAGATTGGGAAAGATCCTATCAGTCCGTCTTATTGATGTTTTGCCTCAATATTTTTTATTGCTCCTGTATTTCATCTTTTGAAAAGTTTGAAGATAATATTCGAGAATTTAAAAAAATCTACGGAAAAGAAAGAAAAAACAAAAAGGAAAGAAAAACGAGGAGAAAGATGATATAGATCCGACGGCCATCTATAAATACACAAACAAATTCTTACGTACATACTGTAAAAATGATAAATTTTCGCGATGGAATTATTTCTGTCGACTTTGCGGTTAATCTTAACTACATATCTCCATTAATCAATTACCTGTTTCATGTATTTTTCGTGAGTGATGTTTATCCGCGAAATCAAGTGCCTGGGAAATAAAATAAACTATTAAATATTTCAAAAAGAAAACCATGAAATTGAAGCCAATAAAAAATGATTAATTAGTTTAAACTTTATTTTATTTTAAACTGTATAACATTTCAGTAATACAAACAGTATACATAAAGATTCGAAAACAAGTACAAAGTACTGATATAAATGATTAATTGTTTGATTCTATTTGAGTGAGACCACTTAAATGACGCATGTTGTTAAACACGGACAACCGTTGACATTGAAAACATCGTCGATTAAAAACTGGAAGATATTTTTACAGCTTGCACCGTCATTGTCAGAATCTCTCTGTCGTTTAAACTATTTTACTCTATGCTGACAGGAACACGTACGTGTATCGGCAATTATCCGCTTTTTCAATTATTTGAGCATTATATCTTAAAAACAGACAAATTTCAAAGAAGTGTTTTTTTTTATCTATTTTGCTTTCTTAGTAGCAGAACTGCTAAAATGTTGCTTTTGATTAAGTTGGGAACTATAATTCCACGCGGAGTCATTCTTTGTGCATACGTTAACTGGTTTGGCGCATTAACACAGAGTAGTTCCAACGCAAAATGTGTATACTCTTAGAATCAACCTTATAAATAGACTAAAATATCGATTTCTTTAAAAATGATTAATTTCTAAGAATCTTACTTCCACCAAGTCCATTTTCATCGAAAGATCACGTGATCTATATGTAATAATATTCGGCGTAATAAGTCTTAAACCTAATGTAAGATATTTATTCTTAACAAATAGTGAAACTTATCTTTTACCAAATAAGGAATCCACTTGTATTCATAATGTAGATATATTTGCTTTTCTCAGAATAGCTGTTTCCAGTTGACTTGTTGAAGATGTTTGACCTTCTACCTCTATGTGTGGTACTCATTGTCATGTTTCTGACCGGAAGCTTGATCATAAGGAGTCGTAAACTAGGAGACTTGTCTGGTCGGTATGTGTTTATAACCGGCTGTGATACAGGATTCGGAAACATGCTTGCCAAGAGATTGGATTCTTTAGGTATGAATGTGTTTGCTGGCTGTCTCACACCAAAAGGACAACAAGATTTAGAAAAGGCAACATCTAAGCGTCTTGTTACAGTTGCTCTTGACGTTACAAATGAAGACAGCATCCGCAAAGCCTATGCTGAAGTTAAGCAGAAACTTCCACACGACAAAGGTCAGTCTGATAATGATGATTTTGACTTTTAATTCAGCTAAGTAATATCTCAGTGCTGATTGCACATTTTGTTCTATTTATACAGTAGAACCTCGTTATCTCGAAATCATATAAGTTGAATCGAACTAGTCGGTCTAGTTGTTCAGTTCCAACTTGTTCTATCACTTAGATAACTGACCCATTGAAGCAGCTCTTCCTTATCACTAACTAGATTGTTAGGATGTGTCAGTTCGTTTTTGTTATTGTGTTTTCAACAGGTCTTTGGGGCCTCGTCAACAATGCGGGCGTCGCGGGAAACGCATCACCACTGGAATGGCAAACCATTGAAAACTACCGGAAATGCAATGACGTCAATTTGTACGGAATGATCAACGTCACTACAGTGTTTTTGCCACTAGTGAGAAAGGCTAAAGGTCGGGTTGTCAGCATCACGAGCATCATGGGAAGGGTTGCCCTTGTTCCTAGTCCATACGTCGTTTCTAAGTATGGTGCGGAGGGATTTTGCGATTGTCTTAGGTAATTCAATTATCTTACCTGGATCCAGAATTTTGCTAATCTAGTTGAAAAACGGAGGGAAGAAAAAAAAATCAACAATTAAGTAAAACCAAATGCTTGTAAACCTTGTTTTATTTATGTCTGTTTCTGTGTTGTTGTAGATACCAGTTATACAACTCAGGTGTGACCGTTCACATCATTGAACCAGGGTTTTTCAAAACCGCTATAATTAATATAGAAGATTCCGAGAGAGACATGAGGAAGTCTTTCCAAGCACTCGAAAATGAACAAAAAGAATTCTACGGAGAACATTATATTTCTGAATGTAAGTAAGAAATGTAAAAGGCATTTTACAAAGTATTTCATGGGTGTACCAATATTTAATATCATGCCCGCTCGTATAACTAGTACGTTTTAAAAGTGCTGGCCCCACTTGTATAAGACATCTCAACTTGAGATATTGTTATAAAAAACGCCACCAATATTTTGCCTCTCATTAGTGGGCGGGGCTGATGTTCAAGGGAGGTAAGACGTGCCGATGATAATTAGTTCATGGTATTGTACATTCTGATATCCCTGAGTTACTTCCCTTCGTTCCTCTCAGTACCGTGGTAAGTTTGACAGCCGATAGGGGTCGGGAATGGCTGCTAAAGCGCAGCTGGCTTGATGAAAGGTGAATAAATTGTGACATAGAATTTGAATAAATTTTGTGTTATCATCACACCAAGATAGAGAACTTCACAATTATTATTATGGATAACAATATAGAATGATTAACTTGATATATTAAGCAATGTTACAATCACAGAGGTATTTTATATACAGCAGGTTCTAAATACACATTAAATGCCTTCAATGTCATGGTTTCGTCCCCTTCTGAGTTAAAATACCGGTTGAAAATACTCGCGAGCCAATTTCTTGTTTTGAAAAAAAAAATGAATAAACACTACCTGTAAGGTTGTCAGATAAACCTTACCTTTCAGGATATCAGATAGACATTACCTGTTAGGATATCAGATAGACATCACCTGTTAGGATATCAGATAAACAGTACCTGTTAGGATATCAGATAGACATCACCTGTTAGGATATAAGATAAACAGTACCTGTTAGGATATCAGATAAACAGTACCTGTTAGGATATCAGATAGACATTACCTGTTAGGATATCAGATAGACATCACCTGTTAGGATATCAGATAGACATCACCTGTTAGGATATCAGATAAACAGTACCTGTTAGGATATCAGATAAACAGTACCTGTTAGGATATCAGATAAACAGTACCTGTTAGGATATCAGATAAACAGTACCTGTTAGGATATCAGATAAACAGTACCTGTTAGGATATCAGATATACCGTACCTGTTAGGATATCAGATAAACAGTACCTGTTAGGATATCAGATAAACAGTACATGTTAGGATATCAGATATACCGTACCTGTTAGGATATCAGATAAACAGTTCCTGTTAGGATATCAGATAAACAGTACCTGTTAGGATATCAGAAAAACAGTACCTGTTAGGATATCAGAAAAACAGTACCTGTTAGGATATCAGATAAACAGTACCTGTTAGGATATCAGATAAACAGTACCTGTTAGGATATCAGATAAACAGTACATGTACAGATAAACAGTACCAGTTAGGATATCAGATAAACAGTACCTGTTAGGATATCAGATAAACAGTACCTGTTAGGATATCAAATAAAAGTTAGGATATCAGATAAACAGTACCTGTTAGGATATCAAATAAAAATATCTGTTAGGATATCAAATAAAAGTATCTGTTAGGATATCAGATAAACAGTACCTGTTAGGATATCAGATAAACAGTTCCTGTTAGGATATCAAATAAAAATATCTGTTAGGATATCAAATAAAAGTATCTGTTAGGATATCAGATAAACAGTACCTGTTAGGATATCAAATAAAAGTATCTGTTAGGATATCAGATAAACAGTACCTGTTAGGATATCAAATAAAAATATCTGTTAGGATATCAAATAAAAGTATCTGTTAGGATATCAGATAAACAGTAGATGTTATGATATCAGATAGACAGTACCTGTTAGTCTATAGGATAAATATCCCAAGATATCCACTTTAGATAACAACAGACCCATTTGCAGTATTTATGTATTCACCAAGTATGTCAGTGGAGACCGATAAGTTATATTGATATATTTTATTGTAATTCTTCATTTTTTCTTTCATTTAGTAATGGACAGCGCAAATAAAACAATTGACGAACTCGTGTCCCCTAACACATACAAGGTGGTGGATGCTTTCACGCATGCGCTGACTGCAGTTTATCCACGTGCCAGATACGTTGTTGGATTTGACGCAAACATCCAGTTCCGCTTGATTTGGACTCTGCCGGAGTGGATTGGAGATCGGTTGGTCACCAGTCGATTTCCAAAACCAGCTGGATGTCAAAATCGGTAACAGGAATGTAAGGCATTCTCGGATACTTAACAACATCGACCTCTGATTGGACAGCACATTTCATTTTTTAACAGAGGCGAAGGAGGTTAATGAAGTGATAGAAACAAACGAAAACAAAACAGTCAATCGATATTGATTTATTCTTTTCACGGTTCACCATACTCAATCATCACTTTTAATATGTATAGTTTCTTTTGTTTATTCAGTGAGTTAGCTTTCATACATTGGGATCAGTAAAACAGCGCTGAATTACTCCATTTTCTTTGCTTCTACAAACATTTTCAACACCATTGTGTTTTTTAAAGATGGCTGGTAAATGAAAAAAGAGCAGTTAATTGCTTGTTAGTAGATTACAAAAAGATAAAGGAGACCTAAATTCATAAAACAAAGTACCAAAATATTAGTAAATATATTACTGTACCTGCCAGGTAAAACTACAAAAACAATTTACTACATTTAATTCTTTTCGCGCATCGTGAATGTGAGTTAGATAAGGCGATTTCACACTGTGGAGTTCTATATCTCTGCGCTACAATCATGGCCGGCCAAACAAGACAAGCATCATGTGAAATCGCCTCCGGTACGTTGTGAATTCTCTTTGTGATTATATCAATCATAAAAATGTTCATGCTCTGAATCGTCAGTCAAGTATCCAGTTCAAGAACAATATTACGGAACAGATTTCTTTTCATGAAGTACTTCCTTCAAGTTAAATCAGCTGCTACTAGTTTTTAGCAGTTTAAACATATTTTATTGCCAAAATATAAATTTGAACAAGGGAATTGGGCACAAGTTATTACAACTTACTGGAGCCCTCTCCCATCATACATTTTCAAATACATGCTTATACAGATATAGGTTTAAACATAAATTATACATATTAAGCATTCACACACAGACATAAATACATGTATCAGAATATTTTAAACCTTTGGTTTTAGCATCTTCGAAATAGGAGCGTGACCATTTCACTTTTCAAAGGACGTATTTGATTGGTCAATTTTCAGAGTATTCAACAAGTTCCATTTTCGGGAATGCTACATACAATATGAACTGATTTATTTTATTCAAATAATCTTATTATTTACACTTATATACTATAAGAATTCTGCGAATTAAGGCATTAACAATAAGTCATGTTTTGTTAAAAATGTACTTCATAAAAATTGATATTATGTTTTATCATATATTTACTACTGATAAAACCGCTTTTGTATGTGTGATAGGTCTGAAATTTCCTCAGGTTGATATCAGCCTTGAAGACGCCATACCCCATTAAATGATATCATATCCCCCCCGCCCCCTCTTACCTCCTAGAAAGTGATATTACATCTCCTCTCAAATCTTGATATTGTCGCTTCCATTTATCGCTGTCTGATTTGAACATAAATAGTGTTGACTCGACAGAAATGCGTTTTTTTCTTACAATAAATTATTTACCTCCATTAAAATATCCGGATGGTGCCGTTTCCGGATTGGTTTCCCTTATTAGTGACGTAATCAGCTAGGCATGACTATAAATGAATATGAGTAGATACTGTATCATTGTTGTTATACTGTTGATTTAACGATTTATTCAACACAGTATTGTTTTTGTGTGGTTTGTTTATCTTAGAGAATAAAACTATATGATAATAAGACTATTGTATGAACATTTTGATAAAACTAAAAATCTCAGCTCTCGAGTCCTAATATATCAGTATTCGGCACGAGGGCTGATGGTGCCATATCAAAATGATCATATCAGAATTTCTAAGTATATTGGGATATGTTTTGTGCAGTTTTTGCGAGAAATCCCCTAAATTTATCTTTTGCAACTTTGCATGTTTCATCATCTCAGAAATTTGAAAGTCCTGTTTTGAAGACATTGAATACATGAGACTATAGAACATCAGCTCAGTAGAGATTTAAATGACCAGTCCATACTAGATAAGAGATTTACATACTGACGAGTATTTATTTATAAAAGAAAAAAAATCACCATTAGAATAAACGTTATAGATGTATTGCTCATGTATGTACATTTAAAACGAGAAGAAAACAAAGGTCGCAAATCTGATTAAATAAATACGCCATTTTTTTTCGATAAATGGTGTTATCGTAATTTTTTAATTTAAAATCCGTTTCTTTTATTTGAGATATTTCATAACATATATAATATTAGTCTTCATTTTGTAGAGGGGAAGGGAGAGGGGGAGAGAGGTTAAAACTGAAAAGTGAACATGAAAATATTGGCACTAATTATTGTAAATCATTTTAAATTATCATATCGATATGTAAAAAATGATTACGTTGTAATGTTCAATAATTCTGATTTTTAATATACCCCGATAAAAATGGTCGGATTCAATATAGGTAGCTAATAACCTCAAATGGCGCAGAAAAGAACAGACCCGGAAGAGTAAGCGACTGCAAGTGACTCTATCATTATACGACCACTACATTTCTGCTACAGCAGATAGGCATTAGTTATGTCTTGTTAAAAAATGAAACTCCCTGAACGTTTTTATTGGCTGACAAAGGGAACTTTGACCGAGACTACTTCTTGCTTGTAACGTCACCAAGCTGAATGTTCAAAACGACAGTGAAGACTGACAAACGTTTGAATTTAATTCCATTTTCGTTTAGAGGGCCGATTTATAATGGAACAACTCTGACCTCACTGCTCATTCTGTATCAAAACAATTTCCAAGAGTTATCGACTCCTGAGCATGTGACGATGATTGGGCAGTTTGGCAGGAAGGGCTATCCACGCACTCACAGAGATTAAAACGCATAGAAAATAGCTCGCGATTTTTTTAATAATACAAATCATATATGTATTTCTTTCAATTTATTGCTGTAAATATAAATGATCAAATATATTTATCAAAATGGAATAATGAAAATTGATATGCTTGGCGTATAAAGTAATCTGTCTCCTGAAACTGAAAACCCTATATCCCATTTTCAAAAAATCGATTCCAGTCAAGGCGCAGAAGATGTTTGACCTTCTACCTCTATGTGTGGTACTCATTGTCATGTTTCTGACCGGAAGCTGGATCATACGGAGTCGTAAACTGGGAGACTTGTCCGGTCGGTATGTGTTTATAACCGGTTGTGATACAGGATTCGGAAATATGTGTGACAAAATATTGGACTTTTTTGGTATGAATGTGTTTGATGGCTGTCTCACCCCAAAAGGTCGACAGGACTTAGAAAAAATACGACTTCCAATCGTCCCGTAACGATTGTACTTGACGTTCAAAGTGAGGACAGCCTTCTCATAGCGTTTGCTGGGGACAAACAAAAACTTCCTGCGGTCAGTCTTAATATAGTATTTTATGACCTCTATTTACATGAACTCAAATATCATACATATATACACATAAAACAAGCAAGATATGCCCTAATTAGAAATATCTTTATTGTGATAGGTGTAATATCTTGTGACTGTATTTATAAGGTCTCCTTCTATAAACACATTTACATACTAGTAATCAATGTAATATATATACATGCTAATTAATGTAAATACAGGTATGGACAATGAAAATGTATATTTTTCGCCTATATGTATCAATAAAGATTTGAGCATTGTTTTAATTTCATCGGTGTATGACAAAATCTGTTTGCTTCGTAAACTCCCGTAGCGTTTTCTCACTTCAACAGAGACCTGAAAACATCGATTGTTTTCATTGAACCTTTAAACAAGGGTTATCTCCTCTTTTCTACAAAACTACGGTATATGATTTGGTGATATTATAGGGCGCATTGCCTTTAACGCTAAACAATACATCGAAAACAATCCTGGAAGATTAAAATGTACTTTCAAAACATTCTTTTAACCCCCCCCCTTCACCTACAAAGGGTTATCTCATGTTTTACCGAGTACAGAATCTCTTCCCACCTGCCTGTGATCATTCCTACAATATTTGATGAAGTGTTTACGAGTAGTCTTCTAGAATTTGTGACCCCGTTAAGCGCCTCGCTACAAGTAGAGAACACGATTCCCTCCCTTGCTTTGGTCATCATTGTTATTAAGGTATCTAAATTAATGTTTTTTGTTATTTTATAAACATTAATTTTGAAATAAGGCCCGTCATAAATTAGGTGACTGTGATTTTATCACTTTTTGGCCATTTTTTTCACTATAATTTTTACATTTTGATACATACGTTGAAGAAAACACAAACACTATCCGTTAAACATTCAGTTTCAATAACTTAACCAAGAAACTTTCCATTTTACGTCGGCTTTCCTTTACCTTATAAAACCCCCCAAAACTGAGGCTTTGAATAACTTTATGCAGATGACCCTGTATAAAGATATGCTGGTTAGTGTGTAGCTGCCGGATGGTCCCGAACTGTCGTTCCTCTAGTGTATTGTGTTGCGTTACTCATAGTCTTTTGCGCAATGCACTGTGTTGGATTTGAACATTTCTCCGACTTTTCACAAAAACTGAGTATGGTCTACTTGAAAAATGTAATTTAGGTCTGAAGTCTGAAGGAGAGTAAATTGTATATGTCATGGCAACCCCAGTATCATCTTGGATTCTGATTTGTTATAGTGCTACTGTTAGAGAGCTAATGGCGTGACGTGACATGGCGCGGCGGCCATCGTTATCTTCTCATGTTAAACCAGGTCTCTCCATAAACAGGAGGCTCAACCTTGTTTTCGCGGCCTTAACTTACATTCAATCTGTTTACAACTTTCATACGTTCACTAATCAACCAATGAATCTATCGGACTCATTACTACCGATGAAGGGAAGGTGTGAACGTTTCAAGTACTGTAGTACTGAACAAAGTATTGATAGTATTGTATTGAAGTACTTCACCAATCGAATTCCTTAAATTTATGCAACAAGCTCTCTGATTGGCAGAGCCAAGTCTAGATCGATTGTGGGTGGAGCCAGGTGAAAAAATACTGTGCAGACATCGGCATTTTACAAACACTCGACTGTCGCGAGAGGTTAATTGGAAGAATCCAAGTCACAGGTGGCTTCAGATCAGACCTAATTGGGTTGTCCCATTTGTTTCGTTCTACACCCAATGATACCTTGCTTTTCCATCGATGGTACAACGAGAAAACGAAAGTTACTCAGTACTAAACTAATTTACGTACAAAATATATATCAACAGGTTAGATCACTGGGACCGGAGAATTCATAACATCTTAACAGTGAATATAGTCACATAGTCATTCTGTACTAGTTTTATTTATTTATTTATATTTTTTTTTTGAAAGGGGGGGGGGGGGGGGGGGGGGGGGGGGTTGGCTCAAAATATTTCGGTTTAAGCCCAAGCTCTATTATATGTAACAAAGAATTACGAATTACCTGGGACCTCCTGATATATGCCGATAATTCATACTTCATTAAAAAATAAAGGAATTCTGTGGTCCCATATATTTTTTATTTTATTTTTTATCTTTCCATCGAAAATTATACATATCCGCAACATGTGAAAAAACTTTGAAGTTGGTTGGGCGGAATATCTAGAGCATTTACTACTGCAAGTTCCAGAAATTCTGACACAAGTCGGGTATTTGCCCGAAGCCTCTGTCTCATGACATTGAATACATATTCAGTTACGTTGTATTCCGGGGAATAAGGCGGCTGAAAAACCAGGGACACGCCATATTCTTTCAGCATATTTCTTAAAATGCGCTCTCCCTGTCTATGGTGATGGAATCCACAATTATCCATCACAACCACATCGCCTTGTACAAAAACAGGATTCCCCATATCGTTCGTATCGGACATAATTTCGTCGAAGAAAATTTTGCGTACTGTTGCCGTCGTCGGACATTTTTCCAGCGATTACTTAGTAATTGTTATGTAACTGGTAGTGTACATTAACTCCGCCTACCGGAACAAATTGGGTGTCAGATCAACTATTCAGGTTGTCTAAACTCCGCCCCCGACCAATCACAGAGGTCGTTGTATACTTGACTCGATTATTTGAATACTTCAATACAATAGTATCAATACTTTGTTCAATACTATAGTAAGTGTGTCGTTCACACCTTCCCTTCATCGGTAGTAACACTTTTATTTGTAAACTCAATTCAAAGCAAATGGTGTATAAAATATTCGCCTGACAGGTCGCAACATGAGGTTTCAAACGATTGGCGTCCATAATAAAGGCTTATCAATGATTTAAAAGTGAAACGAGAAAATAAACAGCAGCTTTTTATAAAAGTATAAATTAAATCATTAAATCTCCTGTAGATTTAAAAAGGTCTTAATGGTGTTTTTACATGAACACACAAGCGAAGAGCACCTGTTAAGATAGAGTAGAACCAAATAATGAATTAAACTTCATCATACAGATGTTTCGTCCTTCTAGGACTCGTCAGTGATGCTACATCATACAGATGTTTCGTCCTTCTAGGACTTGTCAGTGACGGTAAGGGCCTAAATTTGGAAGTCTTAGAGGAAATCCAGAATTGATGGAAAGAAATATCAAAATCTAGATAGGGTAGTTCACTAGCTGAAATAGAAATAACGATCAGACTTCTAAAATCGTTGCTCTCCATTAGCATTAAGGAAATGTCGATGGATATTACTAATATGCAGGGTTCATCTGTCTTGACGTGATCGTTCCTTCAGGATATAGACATGTTCTTAACGTTTTCTAAATCTATCAGAGATATGAAATGTACTGAGTTATGGGGCAAGGGTACCTCCCTATCTAGATTTTAAGATTTCTGTCAATCACTTTTGATTTTTCTCAATCGCCTTCGAGAAATAATACTTAGGCCATCAGTATCGCTGGCAAGTTAGCAGGACAAAACAGCTGTATGGTGAAGCATCACTGACAAGTCCTAGAAGGGCGAAACAGCTGTATAATGTAGCATCACTGACAAGTCCTAGAAGGACGAAACAGCTGTATGATGTAGCATCACTGACGAGTCCTAGAAGGGCGAAACAGCTGTATGATATAACATCACTGACGAGTCCTAGACGGATGAAACAGCTGTATGATGTAGCATCAATGACAAGTCCTAGATGGACGACACAGCTGTATGATGTACCATCACTGACGAGTCCTAGAAGGACGAAACAGCTGTATGATGTACCATCACTGACGAGTCCTAAAAGGATGAAACAGCTGTATGATGTAGCATCACTGACAAGTCCTAGATGGACGACACAGCTGTATGATGTACCATCACTGACGAGTCCTAGAAGGATGAAACAACTGTATGATGTAGCATCACTGACGAGTCCTAGAAGGATGAAACAGCTGTATGATGTAGCATCACTGACAAGTCCTAGATGGACGACACAGCTGTATGATGTACCATCACTGACGAGTCCTAGAAGGATGAAACAACTGTATGATGTAGCATCACTGACGAGTCCTAGAAGGACGAAACAACTGTATGATGTACCATCACTGACGAGTCCTAGAATTTGTTCACTTTCGTGAATTTTGTACAATCTTCAGGGTTTAGCACTTGCCAAATTGGCTATCGTCCATTTTGTGGTCCGATAAACCTGATGATCAATTTTACGACAGAGAGATAGATCAGTTTAAAGGCAGGTCACGTGAGAACAGAAATACAGATGTTGCTTTAGCTGTCGGAAATGTCACGAAAAACCCTCGTCAGTCAAATGAAACCGACTTTTACAAAATGATGATTTACATATGTTATACAACAAATGGATATTTTATGATTTTATTCAATCATGTAGTGCACAGACTGGACCAAAGCATTTAATCAAAAGTCTCATTGATCTAAGAAAGTCAAGACTGACAATAAAAGGCTTGTTTGATAAGACAGGGACATACACTGTATATGGCAAGAAACATGATTAATTAGCAATGAAAATATGTAATGTACAAACATATGTCTTAAATTTCCTTAAAAGCATGGAATTATACATACAATATAGACAATAAAAAGACGACCTTACACAAATATAAAAACATTAATTTACTGATTCTGTTTAGGACTTACATTATCCTGCTGTTGGGACATAATTCATTCATTTCTAATTATATCTACATATGGAGTAGAAAATAATTAAGCATACATTTCGGATTCAGCCTGTTTCTCAAGATCTGATTTGTTAAACGTTGCGGGCATTTCTAAGGTAACAGCTTCATCATATCTATCGTGTGAGTACACAGCCACGTATTGACCTTTGATCTCGGATCCTCGACACAGTGTAGTAATATATGCACGCTTGTGGTATAGCAATAGGAAGGCAGCTCCGAAAACTATAATTACTCCCAGCGTAATCAGCAAAGTCGTCAAAACACTTAACAATGACATCGGACAAGCCAGGTCAGCGCCATCTATTTCAAAGATCTCCATTCCTCTGTGTCTTGACGGATACGTACAACTGTAATAATTAATAATGGTGGTTCGTAAGTCAAATTTGTTCGTTAAATTTTGATATGCTGAAGAAAGGAACAAGAATTTCTCAATCATTTTAAACAGAGTGAAATTTGATTTTGTCCAGAGTATGAAGGTTATAAGTATTTATCCTGTAACTGGCGTTGCCATTGTCGGAATACACCTTCCATAGATATTTTTGCTTTATGAGGCGGTGAAGGAAAACAGCTGTAATTTAGCACGTGCGGTAATTCGACGGTATAACTTTCTGAATTTACTTTAATTTTACGTTTAGAAATATTAATAGTTGTTCGAAATAACGATTTTACATTTTGTAAACATGTTGAACAAGTTAATATCATGAATATTCATAAAATCGCAGTTATATCCGTTGAAGTTTGGAACTATATTTCCGCGCGAAGTAATTATTTTGGAGCACGTCATCAGGCAAAGTTCAGCGTAACGTCAACGTCAAGTTAACAAAAATCGACCACCAAAACTACTGAAGATTTGATTGTCTGATTATTATTCTATGATGCAGGGTAAAAGAAATACAGATTCAGTGTCTTAACATATAAGTTGTATCTTTGCTCGGGACAGAAAGACAAATTACAGCTTATATTATAAAACACTGGCCATGTATTCTCTAATTAAAGCCCCAATATACGTAACATTCACCAAAAATTTAGTGTAGAATCACACATAATTATTGAGATATTCTCTAAGATGTAGTTAAAATTAAGTTATTCAAACAATAGTTACCATGAATTTGTGCATAAAGTATTGATATATGCACAGTTGAAACTCGCTATTTGTAAACACACCTCCATTTTAAACATTTTAAAAAGTTCATGACCTGATCTCGCGAGAGTTGAGGTTTCTACTTATTGAGGAAGCAAATGCAGATATGTCTATGGTAAGTTTTTGTTTACAAACATTGTTTGCGAAGTCTTGTCGTAGACTTGATGTATTCCTGTGATAAACATTCAGTTTTTGGGTAATTATTAGAAGGAATAATTAGTTTAGAAACGATACGACGCACAATTATAACGTAAGAATTCAGAACTGGCCTGATGTATGATTGAAAAGAAAGGAAGCGACTGGAAAACGTCTTTACTGTGTCTGCCATGCGCAATGTCATCGCTACGAGCGGTAATATATGAATTATTGTGGGTCCCACATTGTTTATTTTCCGATTTTTTCAATTTTTATTTAAATTGAAAACAATATCTTGACCTTTTCGGATTACTTTTAATTATTTTCATTTATTAATTATTATTTGATAAATAATACGAAGTAGTCAGGTAACAGATACATTTTTGTTGGAACAAAGTCAAATACGGCAACAACCGATTGGATTTTAGTTACTTACATGATGGACGCGTTAAGTGACCGGAGGTAGGAATCCGGAGAGGTGATCCATTTCATTTGACAGTCACAGGCCCATGGGTTGTTGTCAAGCTCGGGCGCTTTGCGCATGTCCGTAGGCAGAGACAGTGGTGTGATATGGTGCAGGCGGTTGTTTCGAAGACCAAGACGTTCTAGACCAGTCACACCGGAAAACGCGTTGTCCCTGATGGAGCTGATCTGGTTGTTATCGAGGTTGATGAAATGCAGTGTTGATGTCAGTGTTAAATGCATATCATCGATCTCTTTAAGCTTGTTGTAACTCAAATCGAGGCTTCTCAGGTGCGTGACTCCCGCAAATGCGGCAGTGTCGAAGGTGACCAAATTGTTGTGACTAAGATTCAGAATACGAAGACGTAACAGGTTCTCGAGCGCGAGATGCTCCAGAGTAGTTATTGCACAGAAGGACAAATCCAGTTCCTCAAGCCGGTCATAGCCGAATGCCCTGAATGTGAGACGCTTTATCATTCCAAGCGGATTTCCTTTAAGGATTAGCACTCGTAGACTGTGGAACTCGCTCATGACGAGACGGTAACGCTTCACGATGAGGGCAGATCCGCGAAGAAGGTTGAAGGACAGGTCAAGCGTGTCGAGTTCCGTCAGATCTATAAAAGCGTTCTGGCTGACTGACGAGATATGGTTATGGGACAAATCGAGTCGTTGCAGTGTTTTTGGTGATGAAATATTGATATAAGGGACGTGTATCAATTGGTTACCAGATAAATCTATATCTTTAACGCCATATGGAATATTTTCAGGTGTCGGAAATGACGTCATGTTACCTGCAGTGCAATTGAATATACGTGTATTTACATCTAGATAGGTGCATCCAGGTATTGCAGAGGTCAAACCGAGCAGCAGAAAGCAAAAACACGTCGAGATCCATGGTGTTGCCATATCGTGTTCAAACTGAAAGTAAATGAATCAAGGAATTTCTTAATTTATATTTATATTGTTTCACGTCCTACCAACAGCCTATGGGCGTTAAAGCACGGCTTATCTCTGAAGCGAGATTAGGGTGTGTGTCGTATGCACGTGCTTGACGGACATATTCCTTATCATGCAATTGACACATATTTGTCCATCTTTTATGTACAACAGAAAATTGTAAAAACACACACAAATGTAGCGCACGTTTTGAAACAAATTTATAATTAGATACATCGGCGCCTAACAAAGTTTGAAACTGTATCATACTGCTGTATCGTCTGACTCGTCAGTGATATGGGCCTTATTTTGAAATCAAGGCGTCGACTGAGGAAATAGAACTTGATCGTAAGAAAAGTAAAAAATAAGATGAGGAGTTGCTCTTGCTCAGTTAAAAAAATTGATTGACATACATATGTAGATTTCAAATTCAGAAATTAAGTTCACATGGGTCTACTTTGAACAACAAGGTAAAAAATAATGCATCATTAACTGATAAGATAATATCACTGAGGAGGGTATACTCACGTGTAAATATAGAAATGACTAACGAGAAGGCTATACTCACGTGTAAATATAGAAATGACTAACGGGGAGGGTATACTCACGTGTTAATATAGAAATGACTAACGAGAAGGCTATACTCACGTGTTTATATGGAAATAACTAACGAGGAGGATATACTCGCTTGTAAATATGGAAATGACTAACGAGGAGGCTATACTCACGTGTTAATATAGAAATGACTAACGAGGAGGCTATACTCACGTGTTAATATAGAAATGACTAACGAGGAGGCTTAACTCACGTGTAAATATAGAAATGACTAACGGGGAGGCTATACTCACGTGGTAATATAGAAATGACTAACGAGAAGGCTATACTCACGTGTTTATACGGAAATGACTAACGAGGAGGATGTACTCGCTTGTAAATATGGAAATGACTAACGAGGAGGCTATACTCACGTGTTAATATAGAAATGACTAACGAGGAGGCTATACTCACGTTTTAATATAGAAATGACTAATGGGGAGGTTTTACTCACATGTAAATAAGGAAATCACTAACGAGGAGGCTATACTCACGTGTTAATATAGAAATGACTAACGAGGAGGCTATACTCACGTGTAAATATAGAAATGACTAACGAGGAGGCTCTATTCACGTGTAAATATAGAAATGACTAACGAGGAGGCTATACTCACGTGTTAATTTAGAAATGACTAACGAGTAGGGTATATTCACGTATAAATATGGAAATGACTAACGAGGAGGCTATACTCACGTGTAAATATGGAAATGACTGACGAGGAGTCTATACTCACGTGTAACTATGGAAATGACTGACGGGGAGGGTATACTCACGTGTAAATATGGAAATGACTGACGGGGAGGGTATACTCACGTGTAAATATGGAAATGACCGACGGGGAGGGTATATTCACGTTTCACATACGTATTTAGGTACTACATATAATGTAACAGATAGTTGTACAAAATACACACATGCACATAGGAACTACACATAATGTAACAGATAATTGTACAAAATACACACACATACACACACGTACATAGGTACTTCATATAATGTGCACAGATTGTTGTACAAAATACACACACATACACACACGTACATAGGTACAACATATACTGTACACAGATAGTTGTACAAAATACACACACGTACACACACGTACATAAGTACTGCATATACTGTACACAGGTTGTTGTACAAAATACACGTATATACACACACGTACTTAGGTACTACATATACTGTACACAGGTTGTTGTACAAAACACACTCGCATACACACACGTACCTAGGAACACACATACACAAACATACCTCTGACACATCGGCACGTGATGTTTAGTTGTAAATCAGGGGAGGGTTATACGTACATGTTAATGCTATGATAAATTAGATCCTGGTGTCTTTTCCTCACGAAGTACAAATCCCCGCGTGTCGTTAGTTCTATGTCGTCATCCCGTGAAGAATGTATAACGTGGTTATCAGACATTCAATGTATCTGAACTTTGTCTCGTCTCGCTCCCACCGGGAATAAACTGATAACAATGCTGTTGTCAGTATCTATATCAGGGAGATGATTGGACTATGATGTTGTCTATATGAATCAGCATCATATCCATGAATTGTGCATAAAGTGTGAATTTCTTTTGTAAAAATGCGTAAATGAAAATAGGTGTGTCAATGACATAATGATATTGATGAAAATAAGGTCACGACCTCTTAATTCTATAACATACGTATACTTACACTAGATGCGTGTTATCTTGATGCGGATGATGGTCCTGTCATGTCTTAAAAAAATTAGAGAAAAACTCGTCGCTCTTGGTTACTGAGGCAAATGAATTGAAATTAATTTAGAAAAAAAAAACTTAAAATGGTATTCGGCATTAAATTCATGTGCATACACGCACATTTTAGGGGATAATTAAAAAAAATCAGCATTACGTATCAGAATATTTACTCAGTGTATAGTGCTGCCGATTTTTAATTTCGAATTGGAATTTGTGTTTTACCGAATCTTGATTTTTAATCCAGCTTGTTTGTATAAATGTATACTCAGAGATATTCTCAAAATCAAAATTTCCTTACATGAGTGTGAGTGATACAGCGAAAAATATTTTAAAACTCTCTATGACAAAACAAATAAAATTATATATACGTCCCTCTCTGTCGACATCTGTGATAAATAAGTGCTGGTACCACAATCTTTATAAAACGACTGTTTATGTTATGATCCTGACATGAACTAGGAAAATAAGATCTAGGAGATAGGGTTAACATTACTACAAGGCTATATCTTCACATCATTAAACCCTAACTTTAAACCAAAATCGATGAAATATGGGGAAAATATGAACAAATTGAATCACGAGGAAAATAAAACAGGTGTTCCGGAAGGACAAGCGTTTTACGATTCCTCGACGACATCCGCCGAGCAAATCATAGTCAATCCAGGCGGGTACATATGTAATTCATTTTGAAGAAGAAACAAAATGATGAGGAAAATTCGGGATACAAACATGCATCAAGCACCTCCGTCTACTCCTAACTCACACAAGCATAGAATATTTCCTAATTAGCACGGCGGCCATAAAAGATACAGACGTTGAAAGCTTTGTAAACATACGCAATTTTATGGTGCCTGTTTCTATACTTATATAAAAGCATATGATTATACATTTACAATACAGGACTTATTCACTAACCATTGTTACACAGAATCGATTTTAATCCACCTAGAACCCAATATACCCGACTCGATAAACCTTATATACACAGTGCTTTTGTGACACCGTACCAATAGACTTGTCAGGCTATCTATGGCACTAGTTTCTATTAACGCTCGATACCGGGGCCGACTGCGACAGACCTTCTGAAAACTCTGGGACCACAGGATCCCTAAGATATGTTGCTGAAATACCTAATATTCTAATATTCCTTAGAAACACTAGTTTAGGGTGTTGAGGACCTTAGAACAAGGAGAACCGCAAGTACTGTGTATATGTATATGCTCTACAGAAACTGGCCGGACATCGAGATCCCTTCAGTATATTGAGGACGAACTTTAAGTCGTTCTCGATGGAATTCTGAAACCTAAAGGACCGGAATTTCAATGAAAAGTTCCTTCTAATATCAGAGGGTCCTGTGGATGTTGTTGTTCCGGGACCTGGTGATTCCTGTGACCAAGAGATTTTTTGTATGGTTTCAAAATGACAGGATGGATATGTTTATTCGTTCTGTCCTTATTGTGGCAGCCGACTTTAGAGAAGAGGGTTGACGGAACCCTTACTACTTCTCAGGTAAGTTTACATCCCAAGGGACCCAAACAGGGGTATTTTATTACCTCTCAGGTAAGTTTACATCCCTAGGGACCTAAACAGGGAGAATATATTCCCTCTCAGGTAAATTTACATCCCTAGGGACTTAAACAGAGAGAATATATTACCTCTCAGGTAAGTTTACATCCCTAGGGACCTAAACAGGGAGAATGTATTACCTTTCAGGTAAGTTAACATCCTTAGGGACTTAAACAGAGAGAATATATTACCTCTCAGGTAAGTTAACATCACTAGGGACCTAAACAGGGAGAATATATTACCTTTCAGGTAAGTTAACATCCTTAGGGACCTAAACAGAGAGAATATATTCCCTCTCAGGTAGGTTTACATCCCTAGGGACCTAAACAGAGAGAATATGTTACCTCTAAGGTAGGTTACATCCCTAGGGACCTAAACAGAGAGAATATATTACCTCTCAGGTAAGTTTACATCCCTAGGGACCTAAACAGGGAGAATATATTACCTCTCAGGTAGGTTTACATCCCTAGGGACCTAAACAGGGAGAATATATTACCTCTCAGGTAGGTTACATCCCTAGGGACCTAAACAGGGAGAATATATTCCAGAATGCAAATATGCCTATAATAAAATGTGTCCGAGTGTAATACAGTCAGGAAAGACACCAGAAATGTATGTAGTATTGTGATAATATTGACATAAATATTTAAAAGTGTTAAGGGAGTCATATACGACATCTGGTCTATAATTCATAAATTTTGGTTTAGAAGAGTATTTACACTAGTTTTTGAATGAGTCTGCTTTCCCTTCTAGGTAGGTTGGTATGAGCATCCCTAGGGACCTAGACAAAGTTATGGAGAATGTATGTAATAGGAGGTACCTCTCTTGAGGTAAGTTAACATCACTAGGGACCTAAACAGGGAGAATATATTATTGCCTCTCAGGTAGGTTTAAAGCTGTTGATTTCACTTTTCAGTGAATCTGTATATGTTCTTATTTGCATTCAATTGGAATACTTCTTATATATATATATATTTTGTATTATTGTCTCTAAATTATTTTCCCATTTCATATATTTTTCCATGGCTATTTTCTCTCCTATTGTCATTAATATTGTATGTACCTTATATATTTGTATTAATTTTCTGATTCTTTGTCTTAAATTTGTAATGTACTCTTCATTTCTGGAGGAATAAAGTCAAAGAAGTAGGGACCTAAACAGGGAGAATATATTCCAGAATGCAAATATGCCTAGAATAAAATGTGTCCGAGTGTGATACAGTCAGGAAAGACACCAGAAATGTATGTAGTATTGTGATAATATTGACATAAATATTTAATCATTAAGTTAAACCTGGTTGTATGAGTACTGACCGCTGTTTGACCAGTGTCCGTCAGAGGCAGTATTAGGTTATTACGTTAATATATGTTTATTGACGCGTGGTATTATTTACTATTTAACATTTCACTTTGGATAACACTCTTTAAAATGTCCATTAAAACTTCTGTATAACGAACATCTGTCGTTGAATTTCATTTATTTTCAAATGACCAAATATTTGGTTTCGAAATCAATATTCTGTCAACTTATTTTGTTTCGTTTAGGAATGTATACATATTGTTTTTTGTATATATATATATATGTATATATAGTTGGTGTGTTGTATATATATATATATATATATATATATATATATATGTTTTTTTTTTATTCTAGTAGTCTTTTTTTATTGGACTGCAGTGACCTTCTGTCTACTCGAGAACGTTTTTATAGTAACATTACATGTCTAAAACTCCTTATTGAAACTGTTGAGATTTGTAAAATTCGACATTAACTGAAAGATGTTGGTCTATATAATAGACTATGACGTACCATTTTAATCTTTTGTGTTAACATACCCATTTAAGATTGTTAACATTTGTCTTTTACCTTTTGGTTTGTTTAATGTTATTTCCTTTTGGATCGCCGTGTGTTTTACCGTTTGATGACCCTAATGACCTTTTATGTGCTGACGGGCCGTTAAGAATGTAATAATAATAATAATGATAAGAGTAGTCATTCGCATTTGTCTCTGGACCATAATCATTACGTGTAGTTTGGATCTAAGTTTTATCGATCCGTTCATACTTTTTTAAAAACTAAACCGCAGCTAAAATCACTTGTGTACTTTTGTGATTTCATAAAATCAATGGCAAACCATTTGTAATGTTATTGACACCATTATCGTCTCGGCCTGTAACTTCCAAAAAAAACCTTGTAAGTCCATAATCCTATGATTATGATCATATCAACCACGGCTTAAAATAATTTACATCGATAAATACCGTAACGTTCGCGATTTTAAACCTTGGTTAAAATCTATAATTGTTTCTATATAAACATGATTTCTTAAATATTTTTCAACATTTGAATGATATATATAAATATCTGGTTATGTTTTGTTCATGTTTTGTTTTCGTCACACCGTTTCTTATTTACTCATAAACTATTTAGGGGTACTGTGTAAAGATCGTGACCTGTCAATGGTACATAACTTGTTTAGTGATATCGATTAATTCTTTCTTTGTGTTGTGATCCTATAAGTTAGAACCCCTGGTATACAGGTACTGTAATCCACTCATAATCCTATTATTACGTGTTTGGCCTACTGACTCAGGTCGTACTTACAAGCGTCTAAAGGACATTGGTACCTAAACTGGGTTCGTTAAACGTTTTTCATTCCAGTATGAAATACCTATTATTGGGTATGATTCATCGGGATCTGTGTAAATACAAGGACGTTAAAATAATACCACAACGTTTGAAATATTTGAGTTAAGGCGTACTTAATTAGAATTCAACGTTTGATTAATTGAAAAAAATGTTAGCTTAGCTTTAGTAAAATGAAAGCGACCTGAGTTCGATTTCGTATTTTTTTACTTTTTAAAAAATATTATCATTGACAAATAGACTGGAATGTTATGAGTATTTCGTATGAGCTTTTCCTTGTAAGTGTTACTACCGGGGTTTCCAGGGTTCATCCCTATTATGCCAAATTTTCATCTGACTGGAGTTTGAATTACATTTGTTTTGACAAGTCGACAATGTTTGTTGCGTTAAAAGTATTTGCAAAGTCCACGATGACTTGCTATTGTATTTTGGATGGTATTGTATAATCTTGATGATCGAAAGCGATTTATATAGTATTGTTTACTGATTATTATCAAGGAGTTTGAGATATATATATAGATCGATTGTATATGTCTGATTTAAGCCCACCATCATCAGATATTGTATTTCCAAATCGCAGTGTGTCCGTGGTCCTTGGTCCGTCCGTCAGTCCTTAAACAGTCCTTGTTCTCTCTCTATACCCTTTTGATTTGATTGTGTGATTTTTAAAAATTATTGAAAGCCTTTATAATTGTTTACGGGAATCTATAGTCATTCGTTTGTCTTTTAAGATACATATACATGTACGTATTTTTATGCGGCAGATAGATAAATGTAAGTGTCCCTAGATCTTACTATACCGCCGTATACAATCCAGTCTGTAGTTGTCCTTACATACATAATGTAGATCAGTTTCTATTTGTTTTTTGTGTGGGTTGGCGCGAAATGGGAAGGATGGGCGGGGCAAGGCATGTTTGCACAAGTAAATAAAACTATGTATCTTTCTAATTACTGTAAAATCGCTGACATAGTATCACTATGATGATTTTAATCATTTTATAAATGTTTTTTCTCTTTACAGGACTGGCATTTTATCACAAGATTTTGTTTCCTGTCACAGAAAGGAATTCTCCGATACCAATTCGAATATCCTAAGGTGAGTGTAGATCTTACTGTCCATATATTCTTATTATTTAACGTTTAAAATCTTATTCACGTTAATAATGATTATTGGTAGATGAAATAAGAGAGATGTTCTCCTGTCAAAATAAATAGATAGATCAATAAACATGACTGGAAAACATCGGAAACGATTACCTGTCAGTAAAATGTTGAAGATGTTAATCAGCAGAATTTCTTACCTGTCAAAGTAATGAAGATGTTTATCTGTCAATGTCCTGTAGATGTTTACCTGTCAATGCACTGTAGATGTTTACCTGTCAATGTACGTTAGATGTTTATCTGTCAAAGTACTGTAGATGTTTATCTGTCAATGTACTGTAGATGTTTACCTGTCAATGTACTGTAGATGTTTACCTGTCAATGTACTGTAGATGTTGAACTGTCAATGTACCGTAGATGTTTACCTGTCAATGTCCTGTAGATGTTTACCTGTCAATGTACTGTAGATGTTAACCTATCTATGTACGGTAGATGTTTACCTGTCAATGTCCTGTAGATGTTTACATGTCAATGTACTGTAGATGTCAACCTGTCAATGTACTGTAGATGTTTACCTGTCAATGTCCTGTAGATGTTTACCTGTCAATGTACTGTAGATGTTAACCTGTCAATGTACGGTAGATGTTTACCTGTCAATGTACGGTAGATGTTTACCTGTCAATGTCCTGTAGATGTTTACCTGTCAATGTACTGTAGATGTCAACCTGTCAATGTACCGTAGATGTTTACCTGTCAATGTACCGTAGATGTTTACCTGTCAATGTAATGAAGATGTTTACCTGTCAATATACGGTAGATGTTTACCTGTCAATGTAATGAAGATGTTTACCTGTCAATGTCCTGTAGATGTTTAACTGTCAATGTAATGAAGATGTTTACCTGTCAATGTACGGTAGATGTTTACCTGTCAATGTAATGAAGATGTTTACCTGTCAATGTACTGTAGATGTTTACCTGTCAATGTACTGTAGATGTTTACCTGTCAATGTACTGTAGATGTTTACCTGTCAATGTATTGTAGATGTTCACCTGTCAATGTACGGTAGATGTTTGCCTGTCAATGTCACATTAAAGACCTTTACTGTCCATTGTAGAGTAGAGATTTATAGAGAGATGTTCAGCATTTAATCTGAATATGATAATGCTTGTTCGGTGCATCACGTACTGCTAGAGTTACTTCCCTTCGTACATAGTGACGATATAGTGATAAGCTGGACAGCCGATGGGGACCGCGAATGGTTAGGTTCAAAGATAACTATTATTGGGAGAGGATAACAAATGTTATTGATTAGTTGATGGAATCAGTATTTCGTTGGTAAATAGTACAAACTTTGTTACCACAGGATTATCTCGATGTGTGTTGTATACACTAAGTGAGAGAGATGTAACTTAGTCAGTTTCCGATCTGACGAAACTGGATTTAAAGTGGCAACGCCAAGCTGTGTTGTATATAAAAGATAAGATAATAAAACATATTGACCTTTGACCTTTTAGAGCTAAATCCTTTCTGTATTCGCCTAGATAACAGGAACTACACTATCATGTATTGTGTTAGTGTGTTGTTTTATAGTCCTTTTAAGCATGGTTTAATCACGCTAAGTACGTAAACATATTTTGACAGGGATCACTTGAAAACATCGAGGTTCGATTTGGTCCACGTCGAAATAAAAACGATATATGTCATAGTCGTCTTAAAGTACAGTCGATTGTGTTAGGTGTTTGTAGGTCGCGAATAAGGCTAATCCAAGGATTAGTCTTAAACACACATCGGGTTATAAAATATACATTTGTTATAATCCTTTCTGTAATACTCAAATAATATTTAGTCACCTTTGACCGTTTTTTTTTTCTTTCATAACGAAAAAAAAAAAAAATGAACAAAATCAAGTCTCACAATATCACACACGTTTCTCCTTGAGACGATTGGTCTAGAAATAAATCAAAATGATACATCATTTTCTTCTATCCTAAGATTTTTCTGTGAGGAAAAAAACGTTTCGATAACTGTAGTTTTGATTTACGTTTCACTGCGGGTAATTATTTCACAAATATGTTTCTTATCTCCCCAAACTGACAATAGAATATCTTTCGTTTTTACCTAGAACTGGCGTGATGTATTCAACTACTGCGTCAAGTTTATATTTATTAGTCCATATCAGAATATTTTTGACGTTCGTGCAGAGTTACCTCCCCGCACGGAGCTTTCCTACTTGATTTTATTTTTATGTAAGCATGGCGGGTATTATGCGCACCTCACGGAAAGAAATTGCTTACAGGGGAACTGTGGTGAGTTCTTATGCGTAGGTAATAGTTCTTTTTGTATTATATTAATATTATTTAATTGATGAAATGGTGCTTGAGCTGTAGTTTTTAGAGATCGCGTAGTATCGTTGTAGAATTTTATGGAAGCGCACTGCAACCGGTGCAAGGGAAATTTTAACCCATTTAAACATGCCAAGAGAATCATTTAGCAAAAGTAATTTTAAATGTTAATTATTAACAGGGATAATATCAATTTTATTTTTATTTATTTATATATATTTGTTTATTTTTTATTTATCGAGGAATAAATAGATTCATATATACTATCAGTTTGTAACTCCCATCGTCACACACTTACAGATTATAGTCATGCATCATTTCCACCACTAAACACACAGCATTTTGAGTTGCACACTATATCTTAACTATCATAGACACTATGTAACACAATCACTCTAAACATATATTTATAACTTGCAGCCATACTAGCACTCCAGCATTGTTACATATACAAACAACATCAGCATCTGACATCAACGTCATCATATACAATCATCATCCTCGTCACACATTAGCATCATCACATACCATCAGCATCATTATGGTCACCTATCAACATTAGCATCATCACACTTCAGCAGCATTACACATCCGCATTATCACATACCAAATCAGCATCGTCACACCTCAACATCATCATATATACCAACATCAGCAGCATCACACAGCAGCATCACACATCCTCATTATCAGCTTATTCACACACTTTAACTTCCATGCATAAGGATGCTGCAGATTCTTAGACACAGTCAACATCATTATCTTCATCATCAAGCACACATAGACATGCTAATTTCAGTAATTTCTCCATAAACTAGTATGGACTCATAATAAGTGAGCAACTGACAGCTGTCACTATATCACTATAAGATAAATGTTCCTAGATATAATGAAATAGACAAATAAAAAACAAAACATGTGATGATTTTTTTTATAATTCTTTAAACAGCAGACAACTATTAGCTGTTAATAATAAATGTAAATCAATATCAGAAATACTGTCAGTTCTTACCATTGCTTGTGAAGTGATTGATTCTAAGGTGACCGATAAGGCCCATGGGCCTCTTGTTTCTAATCTTAAATTAATTTTTCAATGTATTTTTATGCACAATATGCGTACCTCAAGTGATTTTGCTTATTATTTTAGATTTATGATCTTTACATTTATTTACTTCTTTTTTTTTGTTTGATATTTATGTATTTTATACATCCGTCAAATGACAGGACATATTATGGTATTCTCGTCTTCCATCCGTCCATCTTCCGTCCGTATGTCCCTCTGTTCGTAAACATTTCAATGTCCCAGCGATTTTGGAATTTATTAAGCCTTAACAGATTTCTTTTAACTTTCATTGCAAGCTTAAGTACAATCAAAGCTAGATTGAGTTTGATTTCCATGATTTTTGATCCACAATTTTTAGAGTTACGGCCCATTAATGTCTGTAACCTTTTCAATGTCGGTGCAATAACTTTGCAAAGTATTACGCAATTACCATTGAAACAAATGCAATATATTATATACAGCATAAATAGTGTAGGTGATAGTCAGACAAAATCACAGGCGTATTTCGTGACCTGAAACAGGCTCTTGTTTTTTTTTTTTTTTTTTCGTGTGACAAATTAAAATGATTGTTCAATATATGAATATTGTCAGCATTCCATTATACCTTCATAGATCCCTATTAGGATAAACTGACGGGACAGAGCTTGTTTGTTACACTATCAGAATAATGTAAATCACTCATACTGGTGGAGGAATTACAGTGATTCTAGCATTAAGTTGTATGGTTGCCAATTTATTTGCAGATAAGTCAATACCATTATTACTATTGCAGCCATGGTCTTTTGATGGCGTCGTTAACTTCACCTTGTCAGAATATCCTAATGGGGCAATATTTTGTACATCATGTGAGAAAAAAAGGCATATTTACAAAATTAATAACCAGAAGTAGCAAAATCACAGGGACTTTTCGAAATTATTTTTATTATCTTAATTATCTAGACAAGCCATTGTGGCTACATATAAATATGCAAGTGTTTCTGACTTCGTTTTAAATAAAAAAAATAGTTGTGGAGTGATGGCTTTTGATAATGGATATATGTATATCTAGTTTTGATATATGCTTTATTTGACAAGGAATGTCAATTTATTGTTGTTAATAAAGTTACTGTTTCAATTTTGTTGTCATTGGTCCGTTTTTCCTTGGCCCGGAACTATTTCTGAAGGCGTCTATTTGCATCAACACTGCATCGTCATGCCGGTAATTACGGGCTTAAAATAGATTTTCTGTTGACCAATTTCATTTGACAGATGGGATTAAATCCCTAATGCGTCATATCGAGCGTAATAGCTTATTGGATAAATATTTATAGCAACCTATATTGAACTTGGGGAAACCCGTTCGTCCGCCATGGTGTTTCACGTTGTAATAGCAGCAAGCTGCAAGATGAACTCGAGTAATTTTACGGATGTTTCCTTTGATTGCTTTTCATTATAACTACTGGAGCATGCATAAAACATCCTTGTGTCGTTGTCACGAAATGTAACAGATGTAGCAACAACCATTTGTACCTTAACTTTAATAAAAACATGCCAAATGTCGTATCTTTCTAATGGGAAGCCTGTTACGACGGAGATGTGAAGGGGACGTAACTCTTGGCGAACGACTACTATGTTCTGATATGTTTTGAAATTAATGGTATGAAACACCGCGTCTAAGATTTTTTCCTGTTGTATATATAGAATACAAAAGCAGGATTTCAACACGTCTTCAAAACGAAGCCAAGTGTGATTTTCATGGCAAGCCTGGGTTGTCACATAAACAAAGCACTCAAACGTAGTGTTCTCTTTGTCCCTATATTCCTAATCGCCGTTAAAAAGTCGAACGTGATAAGTCCGTTACGGTCTGCTGAATTTCGATACACTTTTGAGGTTTTTGTGTAGTTTGTAAAGCTTTGTTTTAGTCAGTGGTATTTATCAATTTATCTCCGTTCCTTTCTGTGCATGATGTTAATCTATATGCGTGGTTCCAACAGTCTTTTTTAATCCGTTTATTGCATTTTTAATTATCTAGCGTAAATTGCATCCGGTTGACATGTGGTATGATCTAGGGACACTAAGTATGGGTGTCATTCACTTTAGTTTAAGAAGACATATTTAATATAACTTCGAAAACTTGATGACATCACGACATTATTTGTTCTCCTAATACTGAGAACATTCTCTTTTTTGTATTTGTATTTGGAAAAACTCGAATATTTCCATAATACCAAACCCTGTAACCCACGCCAATCCCCCCCCCACACACACACACGTATACACACAGGACCATCATCCACCAACGCACATCTAGCCCCCCTCCACACACACACACACATATGCACACACAGCATCATCACACACCAACGACCCCCCCCCCCACCCCCATACACACACACACACACACACACACACACACACACACACACACACACACACCCACACACACACACACACACACACACACACACACACACAAACACACACACACACATACATACACACGGATATACACAGTTATTGACATCGTTATTGGAGCAAGATTAATTCTTTTTAATTCCACACCCATGCTACCCACACAGATAAAAAATGCGATAATTACCTTTGATAAACGCGTTTTCCAGCCTTCATCTTCCTTTTCATTGCGCATGCTCGGTGGAATATACCAAAAACAAATATTGGTAAACTCAGGCTAAAAGATAAGTGAAAATTGCTGATGATATTGGAAATTCTTTTATTATAGAAGTGTTGAATATATATTATCCTTTTATTAAACAACTTTCCTATGGTTTTTGTTACTTTCGGTCTCTGCCTATCAACAACTTCGACTAGTATTGTTAATCATTCCGATGTTAGATAGTTACTGCTTTATCACTGGGATATTTCACGCATTATTTGATATTTAATGCTGTACATTATTACTATATTGGCTGGCGTAGGAAGTGACTGATACCGTACCTGGAGAAGCAGACGGAAGCCCTCTGTATCGGCCATTCTATTGGCGAGATACCTGAAACATAGCAACGGTATCAGTGATAGGTCCTATTTCTTTCATTTATATCAAGAAATATTGGTATTTGAGAAAATAGAATTCAATACATTAACTGAATGATATTTTAAAATTTCGACAGTATGACTAAGTTGGACAAAATATTGAAGATTTAACCGAAACGTGATTTGCAAACATAAAAAGCCTGATTTCTTTGTCCACCAATCAGCTTCCACAAAGTCCTTTTGTGTAACACAGCTTACATAATACAAGACTTGTAAGAAGAAGCTCGTGTCTTTCAATAACAATTCATTATTAATTAGAATGGAACTGCATCCTTCAGCTGTTTTGTCCTTCAAGGATCAGTCAGTGGTCCTAAGGACCTTATGATTTTAAGATGACATCAGTGCATAATTCTGGACAGCACAATTCATACAGGTCATACAGGTTTTGGAAAACCAAAGGGACTAAAGCCGACCGGAAGAGACGACTGCCTGCAGTTTCACAGGATAAAACACAAATGAACGTCATCTTGCAGTAAGTCAATGGGCTCTTTATGTTAAAAAATCAATTCTAAACTTCTACTATCAAAATAGCTTCGGTGATTACTTCTTGAGTGCCGACTATAAAAGCACCAATATGATTGAGGGACACCCATTAAATGAAATCACGAGCAGAGTTCTTGTAATCGAAAGTCTTACAAGTGAAATGGTAAGTTAAAAGTAACTGGGAATTACTGATATCAATGCATTGTATAAACTACAGTGGCATTTTCATATAAAAGACTGTATGTCATTGCTATTAATGTGAGTTACATCGGAATATTTGTTTGTATTTCTTCTTAGACACAATTTCAAATCACCACATATCCCCGAATATTTTTACAAAAATTTTTGATTTCTGTGGAAATGCTTGTTATACATTAAGAGACTTCTACCCGTGTAATTTAAAAAAAAAAACAAACATGCATTTCATTCCGCTTTCCAGGTAATAACGATGTGCAACAACAGGAAAGTACCAACATACCACCCTAATCAAAAGCCAAGCTCAAAGTCAATACAACTAGGGCAAAATATGACAAATGGAATGATAAAACTTTTACGTAATAAACGATGTTTTATACAAACTTTGCACAATCTAGGGCGTTGTCTACGGCCTTTTCCAGCTGTTTATCTCCCTTAGATTTCCACATGACCCAGAGTTTGAGAACATCCACTTTACGGCCACATTGGACAGATTTGTCCCCTGTGTCAAATGTCACGTCGTAACACTTGTCAGGTTGGAACAGATATTCTGCTCCAGTAGAATGACTCTTCGTCAGCATATCCTGTTGTAAAAAGGTGATAGCCTACAGGAAACGCTTATTCTTTCTCTTTGAAACGACTCCTGTTTTTTTTGTATAATGTTTTTAAACGCAAGTGATCGCATGCACTAGATTTGGAGATTAACTTTAAAACTTCAGTTAAAAGCGACTGTATTGAGTGTGATTTCAACTTGTTTGTAAATACATCAATATGTTGCGATATTGAACAAATTTAGAATAAATGAAAATATATATGTAGAAGTATCATGTCTGAAACTGAAAGATAGAAGTAGACAAAAACAGGAAAGAAAATATTGACAGGTTAGCAGAAGCATAATCCAAACACAAATTCGATAACACTAGGTCAAAATATAAAAATGGTAACAGGACACTACTGAATAAGTACAAGGAGAATAAGGCCAGACGTTTCAGAAGGGTTTGCGTCTTCTGCTTCATCGATGACACCTTGGTCATGTAAAGTAAGTAATGCCATGTTCCCAAATGAGAGCAAGGTAACTGACAACGGAATGATCAATAATACTTAGGAGCATGAAAAACGTACAGTTCCATATCGCACAAAGATCATAATATGACGACCGTAAAACTAGTCTGTGATCTTAATCTTGGAAGAAAATGGTGACGGTGGGAACGAACCCTAGAATATCGAATCAACTCCCACACGTAAACACGTTGACAATCGATTTAGTATTCGTTGTATATATAAAATCAATAAATGGTACGAAATCAATCAATAGTCCACCATTGTTTTATGTTGGCCTAAATCGGACACAATTTTGACGTCCAAAAATCAAAATACTCCAAGCACAACCATTAAGACATAGTGGTGTTGACTTAATGACCCAAGCAGTGATATTCCCATTTATCTTTATTGATATAGAGGTTCTACAACTAGTGGCAGTTGATTATCATCGTTATCTAACTCGAGTTAGTTAATTTTCAAATTTAGAAAAGACACGAGGCTTTGTCGAGTGTCTTTTCTAAATTTGAAAATTAACTAACGAGAGTTTGATAACGATGATAATCAACTGTCACGAGTTGTAGAACTTCTTTCTACCATAACCTTTTAACGTAAAAATATATGTATTATGTAAAACATTGTTTCGCCCCCATTGACTGGGCACTTTCGCGGAAGAATACATCGTATGTTGTCTGATTGGCTCATTGATATGCAAAAAGAGACAAAATCGCTATTTTTGATGCAAAAGACTTATTTATTCAGTAATATTGTTTGGAAACATGCCGTAACATTAGTTCATTGAAACACGTTACAAAATTACACAAATTGTTTATCTTTCAAAAAAAAAAATAATTTGGAACTAGATTTTATTGCGTATAAGACTAGTGCTTCTTCGCGGGAAAATGTGAATGCAGACACGATTAAGATGGCGTGTAATTTCGAGAACTTCTGATCACTTTCATCAGAACTGTACATCACAATATCAAAGGTTGGGAAACCAAAATTACGGCATTTACCAATTACTATCCCCTTTCCCCCTCCACACAGTTTTGCAGTTTCACCGATTTTGACCGCCGGCAAGAATAACTGATCGTCACTGTCAGCCATGTTGATGATGGACAGCAGACGATAAAAACAATCGCACGTGGCGAAAGTTGTTCGGGGTCACAGATCATTGTTGGGTCAAATGTCAATGCCTCGTCCAATAGATTTGGCTGTCACCAATAATACACGTGTGTATTATGCGTATGAATAAACAATGGATATGGTGTTTAATGAATAGTCTGGGCGTGAGATAACATACGCAGGTTATGGTAGAAAAAACTGTTAATGCTAGTTTTGTATCATTACAGATGCAACTCGGGAAGGATGACAAAACTGTGATTTACCTTGTGTCTTGTTAGGAACACTGAACACTGGTTGAGGGCACCCATCATTTTGTGAGGGTTCCATGTTAGAGAGTCGGCTCTGAAAAAGTAATAAGGAAGAGAAAACAAAAAACGAATTTCAGTATAACTTGTGTACCTGATGAACTATAAACAGTACTTGTCTGTGTACCAATCACTGCTTTATCTTTATTTGTTCTTTGAAATGACGGAAGAACGGACAGCGGATGTCTGATGATTTGAATAGTTCACATCTGATGCTGGCAACACCTCTTGTAGATAAAGGAACTAAAACGAGTAGAGCTTTAAGGTGAAAAAACCAGTAATGATTTTTAAGTGTACGACACAGTCAATTGTAAAACCAGTAATGATTTTCTAAGCGTACTACATCGTCAGTTGGTTCTCTTTCATCTCTTGTTGATTTACCTTTCGATGCCAGACATCAGTTCCCGATGTTTCTTTGATAATAGAACTGCACCACCCCAAGCTGAATCAACGTGCATCCAAAGTTTGTGCTCATCACAGATATCAGCTATTTCGCATAGGGGATCAAACGCACCGAGGACGGTCGTACCGGAAGTGGCGACGACGCACACTGGTTCTTCTCCCTACGCAACAGTAGAACAGTTCGATCAAAAGATGTCAAGATTTCTATTTTAGATAGCTATGATCCAATAGTGGTTATTTGTGTAGAGTCGTTCCTGGATACCAGTACTATTATATTTTAATTGTTAGAATCAAAGACTGCCAGTTCACTCCAGATCTATAATAAAATATGGTGTAAAAAATTACCTTGGACTTAATCATTTGTATATTCTTCTCCAGTTCTGACGTCAACATTCTACCTCTTACGTCACATTTCACAGGTACAACACTCTTTGTACCGAAGCCTAAAAATGCCGCGCCCTTCTTTATGCTGAAGTGAGCCTGAAGAGAATCACCAACACGTCAGGGGAGCAATTATTCTAAGTAACCCATACAAAAACATGGTTACAATTATACATGGGAGACAACTGCTGTCAACTGAGTTATCAAACATCCCATCTTCCTATTATATATTGCAGGAGTTGCAGTAAAAGCACTTTCCCCGCGAAGTTTTTATTTTCATTAAATTCGTGGTTACTCTAAACAGTGAAGTCCATGTCCACGAAATGATAAAAGCTGGCTTTGATTATAGTACTAGTGAATGTTTACGAAGATTTATCCATGAAATCAAGTGCCGACGAAAATACATAGTTTTATTTAACCACGAAAATTGAGCCTCGTTAAAGCATGGAATTTTACAGTACGTACATGATTACATAATCATACTAAGGCAATCAACACTGAAATACTAGTTATTTCAAATTTTACAATATATGATTACTTGCATCTCTCAGTAATCTAAGTCGATTGAGTCTCTTGGATCCATTACCTTTCAGTTGTAATATAGCTGCTTTAGCGTCTGATAGTATATTCTATAAACGTTCTTTATATAAAGGGCATTTTTAAAACATTTGTGATATTTGGCTTAGATTATACCTGTTCTGATGCGAGAATGCGCAAAGGCGGAAGTGATGTCATACCGTCCATTTTGAATTCTGGGAATCGTTTACACCTAGCTAGGTTCAAACCATACATGTTAGAAATTGATCCTCCTACAATGAAGAAAGTCATTGAGAAATTAGTATTTCTTAAAATGTAATGTACTTCAAAGAAGCAGCGGACAGTGTGTTCGGATCTATTGTACGAATAATTTGCCTACAAAAATGCATGACCATTTAATCCATTATTTCACATCATTTTCTCACATTTTATCTGTTATGGGGATTAATGACAGAGGGTGTCCTCTCGAAATCGGGCGATGTTTGAAGAAAAATATCAAACGGAACGATGGTGATAAATCAACAACTGAATGGATTAATTCATGAATACATGCCTAACCACGTTTGAAACGAACGTGACATTTGTTTTATGCACTTACGTTAAACAAAAATTCACATAAAAGCTAGAGATTTCGTTCTTATTGAACCAGTAAATACATCCGCAGTATTATCACCTGGACAGAAGATACCGTCGCCCGAGGAAAGTCCAGCCAGTCCCAGCATTTTGTTGACCACATATTTCTCCATAAGAGTAAATACCGGAGCAACTTCATAAGTAAACCTAGCAACAACAGAAATATTAGTAAACCCCGCAACAACAGAAATATAAGTAAATTTAGCAACAACAGAAATATAAGTAAACCCAGCAACTACAGAAATATTAGTGAACCTAACAACACCAGAAATATTAGTGAACCTAACAACACCAGAAATATTAGTGAACCTAGCAACTACAGAAATATCAGTGAACCTAGCAACATCAGAAATATAAGTAAATTTAGCAACAACAGAAATATTAGTGAACTTAACAACACCAGAAATATTAGTAAACCTGGCAACATCAGAAACATTAGTAAACCTGACAACAACAGAAATATTAGTAAACCTGGCAACAACAGAAATATAAGTAAACCCAGCAACTACAAAATATTAGTATCCTAGGAACACGAAAAATATTAGAAAACGTAGCAACACCAGAAATATTAGTTAGCAACAACAGAAATATTAGTAAACCTAGCAACAACAGAAATATAAATATAAGTAAATTTAGCAACAACAGAAATATAAGTAAACCCAGCAACTACAGAAATATTAGTGAACCTAGAAATATTAAACCAACAACACCAGAAATATTAGTGAACCTAGCAACTACAGAAATATCAGTGAACCTAGCAACATCAGAAATATAAGTAAATTTAGCAACAACAGAAATATTAGTGAACTTAACAACACCAGAAATATTAGTAAACCTGGCAACATCAGACAGATTAGTAAACCTGACATCCACAGAAATATTAGTAAACCTTGCAACAACAGAAATATAAGTAAACCCAGCAACTACAAAATATTAGTATCCTAGGACACAAAAATATTAGAAAACAAACACCAGAAATATTAGTAAACCTAGCAACAACAGAAATATTAGTAAACCTAGCAACAACTTTAATATTAGTAAACTTAGCAACTACAGAAATATTAGTGAACCTAGCAACAACAGTAATATTAGTAAACCTGGCAACATCAGAAACATTGGTAAACCTGACAACAACAGAAATATTAGTAAACCTGGCAACATCAGAAACATTGGTAAACCTGACAACAACAGAAATATTAGTAAACCTGGCAACAACAGAAATATAAGTAAACCCAGCAACTACAAAATATTAGGTATCCTAGGAACACGAAAAATATTAGAAAACGTAGCAACACCAGAAATATTAGTAAACCTAGCAACAACAGAAATATTAGTAAACCTAGCAACAACAGAAATATAAGTAAACTATAGCAAACTACAGAAATATTAGTGAACCTAGCAACAACAGAAATATAAGTACAATATTAGAAACCTGGCAACATCAGAAACATTGGTAAACATCTGACAACAACAGAAATATTAGTAAACCTGGCAACATCAGAAATATTGGTAAACCTGACAACAACAGAAATATTAGTAAACAACAAAAATATTAATGGCAACATCAGAAACATTGGTAACAACAGAAATATTAGCAAATCTAGCAACAACAACAGCAAATATTAGTAAACCTAGCAACAACAGAAATATAAGTAAACCCCGCAACAACAGAAATATTAAGAAACCGAGCAACAACAGAAATATTAATGAACC